TGTTGCTCTCACCTTTGCAGATGAAATTACCCGAAAAGCTGTTACAAATCAATATAATCAATGCAATCAGCTAACTGACACAGGCAATCTCCTGCCAGTAAGTAAAACACCCCCGGCGGAGATCTTTCAATCTCTAGTGCCATAATTGCCCCCAAGGGCGACGTTAGGGTGTAGCATTTTGTACACTTAATTAAATTAGTGAGCTCTGTGGACAGGGTGGGTTGCCGAGCTCACAGAGAACGGATAGGTCTGGCCCTGAGCCAGTAATTAAGGCAATACCTTTCCTGATTACGCCAATCCACCTTAATGAACTCATTATGCATTTTAACCCAAACACTCCCATGAATTAATGAGCACAAAGAAAGCCCCTGGACGGAAAGAACGCCTCAAACACGAACACAAGTCATAACTCATCCACTCAACGGGGCAGACGTAACGTCCATATTTCTCCCTCTTTCAGCAGCAGCCAAGGCTAATTTGGACTTGAGTGACAGCAAAAGTTCTGGGTCTGCACACATAAAGCTTGAAAGAAGTAGGATCCCTTGTCTGGGAAGTAACAACAGAAACTTTACTGGGCGACTTTACAAGGTCTCACAGGAACCATGTCTGATTTCACTGAGAGTCATTCAGAAAACTTTTCTATGGTCCTTTTGCACGGATAAGACGACATGCTCACACCATGCATGGGCCACAAAACATATGTGTAAAATGATTTAAAGAGACCTGGGAACACCGCAGGGTGGTCGCAGCTCTGGCATGACCCATAATGCTTTGCTAATTAAATAATTCACTAATTGATTCATTGCCAAATCAATAAAGCCTGCAGATGGTTTATGGTGTGAGAGTGTGTTTGTGTTTGAGGACTGGGGCTGGGCTACAGATGAAACGCACACACGATCCAAACAATCGGTGCATCCCCCCTAAACTGAACGGTAAGCAAAAGCACATGAAATTGGTGCTAAAACGTAGGCGAACATTGGGATGACCTTGGGCTTGTGTTGTATGACATCATTGCAGCCCCTCACAGGCAGCTGATAGTGAATATAAAAGGTGTGAGACAGTGTGTGTGTGTGTGTGTGGGGGGGGCACACGTCGAACCCATAAACACAGCTTCGTCCTAGACCCAGTCCCAGGGGAGTCTGGGATTTGTAGGTGGGCCTGAGGAAGAAATCAGCTGGGATATCATTAATTCAAGTGTAATGAATCCTTAGGGTGTTTGTATATAAAAGGGCATATGCACTGTAAATATGTGGTATGTTAAATATACTGTATGACCGGTCATTTGTGTGTGCGTGAGTGTGTGTGTCTGGTAAGGTCGGAATTACCTTTGAAAGTAATTGGGACAGCAGTGAAGTGTGACATCTCACTGATCTGAGTGGACGTAAGGGTTGTAAATCCGGCTACATGAGCAGTTTGATATTTGTTTCCAAGGATGTGTGCACAAGCACACACACCAACACACACAGAGATGCAGGGAATGGCCACCAGGGCTCAAAATGCCATCGGATGAAGGTTGTGCTCGTCTGCCATCGGAGAAGATTCATCCAATACTGAGCCAGCTTAATTAAAAAAGTAAAGTATTTCTTATTTAGTGCGAAAATGCATAACCTAGATGAAAAACTTATAAAGCTCTCTATTAACCCAGTTATACCCAAAAAACCATGCATATTAGCGTGTGTGTGTTAACATATAAATTAACAAGAATACACATTTTATGTATTTTCAAGGAATGAATGTCACTTCTACCATGCTCTTTGCTACTCTACGTGGCCAAAATTATGTGGACACCCAAACATTTCAGACATATGAGATGATTGAACATCCCATTCTGATATACAGTAACAACCTCCACTCTTTTGCAAAGGTTTGGCAAAAGATTTTGCAACCTGACTGCAGAGATTTGCTCTCATTCAGCCACAAGAGGGGTAGTGGGGTCAGGCGCAGATGTTGGGTGATGAGGCCTGACTCACAGAGTTTCAGTTCATCCCTAAGATGTTGGAGTTAAAGTGGAAACTATGCACATGTTCTAAATTCATACATGTTCCTATGGTCTAAGAGAGCCAATGTGGAAGTGTCTTAAACCTGCAGTCTTTCTAATGGCCATCAGGGGGCGACTCCTGTGGTTGCAAAAAGAAGTATGATTGTATGGAAGTCTATGAGAAAATGACTCTACTTCTCACTTGATTTATTACCTCAGTAAACATTGTAAACATTCGTTTATGGTCTCAATTGCTTGTTTCAAGTCTTCTTCAATACAGAATGATGTTCATTTAGTAAATTAAAGTATCAGGCGTCCCTACGTCAGTCCAACTTCCGTTCACTGGTTGCAAAGAGCCAAGATGGCGACGTCCAAAACGCAGAACTCAAGGCTTGAAAACAGCAGTCCACAAACCAATGGGTGACGTCCTGACGACTATAAGTCCACTTCTTATGTACAGTCTGTGTCTGCAACTCAAATTTGTGATGTCATCAAGTGTAAAGTTTGGAACTGCTCCACAGACGATGAGCTGGGAGAGATGTTGTAGATGACACTGCCAGCACCCAGGGGAATGTTCCGATTATATGCGGCACATTTTCTGTTTCAGAACACTACAGTAGAATAAAGCACATTTGTGTATAAAAACGAAAACATCCAAAAATGTCAGTCCCCCCCACTCATTGATGGAGCAGCTCTGGACTTTATACTTGATGACATTACAAACTTGAAACATATACGTCTCTGGTTTCTGGCTTTGAAAGAGAGTAACTCATGTTCACAGATATTGATTTAACTTTCCAAGGGTGATGGGAATAACATATTGTAATTCTTAACCTCGGTGGTGTTTCCCTTTAAGGTCAGGGCTCTGTGCAGGCCAGTGATGTTCTTCAACTTATTTATGGACCTGACATTATGCATGGAGGCATTGCCATGTAAAAACAGGAAAGGATATTCCCCAAACTGTTGCCACAAAGTTGGAAGCACACTTTGTCTTAAATACTGGAGAATTAAGATTTCCCTTAATTGGAAATAAGGGGCGTAGCCCAAACCATTAGACCTGTATTTAGTTGGCACTATAAATACAGAGAGTTATTGTTCTCCCGGCATCCGCCAAACTACGTTTCATCCATCGGATTGCCAAATAGTAAAGCGTGATTCATCACTTCAACACAACCCATTTCCAAAGCTCCAGGGGAAAATGTGTTTTACGCCACTCCTTCCATCGACTGGCATTGCTCAGAGTGAACTTAGGCCTGAGTGCCACTGCTCAGCCATGGAAACCCATTTCATGGACAGTAGCCCCAAGAAAGTCTGGAACCTGGGAGTATCAATACATATCAAGACTGAATACTTGAAAGTTTCAATATGCATTTACCACAGCATCAAAACACGGGTACCAGCAGCGCTTCCTGCTCTCTTTTCTCCGACACAGAGTTGACACCCGCCCACCGCTCTATGTCTTTTAATAAAAATCGAAAGTTTCTTGCCCTCAATGTTGGGTCAATGTTTCCCCGTGTTACTGAAAAGGTTATAGAATACCAATCTTTTTAATAGTATTGTATGGAATAATTTACAGTGACGTGACAACACTAATCAAGACACTACAAATGATTGTTACACACATCAGCACTCTGCAGTCCCATTCTGTGAGCTTTTTGGCTTTTCCCTTCACAGCTGACTAATCTAAGTAGCCTACAATTACTCCAGTACTGTCCCTAAATAAAATACTTAACTATTTGTAATTTTCTGTTTCCATTTCATGCACCTGTATAATTCTACTCAGCCCCAAATACACAAGTAAATTATTTTTTTAGTTCATAATTACTTTACCTTAAAAAAAACACATTAGATTATAAATGATGCTTTGCTATAGATTAAACTAGTTAACATGATCCACTACAACAATCAAATTCTACTTACACATCGATGCATCAGTAATACTAATGTAGTAATAATGCAATAATAGAATACATACACATTTACATTGTCTGAATTAATAATATTTTAACTTTTGATACATACTTTCACTAAATTGCGACTTGCAACGGATATTTTATACTACAGTATTACTAACTTTACCTCAGTAAAGAATCTGAATACTTCCTCCAACACAGAGCATTGATGACCTGACTTACTGGAAAGCGTCCCACTGTCGGGTTAAAGTAACCGAGCTCTTCAGTTCAACCCGTTTTACTGCAAATGTTTGTCGATGGAGACTTCTTAGCTGTATAATTACAAGTGCTGTTTAAATACTGTTGGCCATATTGTAAACATCATGCTGACTAAGAAATACAGGTAACTGATTATTGACTCAAATACTATTGTTGACCAACTACTCTTTATTGTAGGATGTGGTTTTATCTCACAATTATATTAAAAAGTGTATACAGAGCGCTACATATTTAATGTTTATTTATCCTTTACTGTGCAATGAATAAGAGATGAAACTGAATTTCAATTGTTTCCATAATCAAACAACACACACTCTTACTTATTGATATCTGTGAACTTCATCAGTACACACTTACAGAAATCCTTAGTTTACCAGCTGCATGATATCAGTCTTAGCTCAGAAAAATTCATAGTCATCCGACACATCCAAACTTAGCATAAAAAAGATAACATATTCAAACAGTATACCAATAACCATTCCAACATTTAACTGTATAAGTTAACCACCAAGGATTTATTTTTTTAGTTCTTACCAATATCACCGCATTACAGTCACAAAAGCTTTCATCTTAACTTAAATGCCCAAAGTGTTATTTCATCCAATAATGCTATTAAAATGGTACCATTTAGGTCTACTGCTTCAGACTGCCAGGCCCTTTGAGATGTGGGTGAACCCTGAGAGAACAAAAGTGTGAGACCACATTCATACGACAGGAAACCCAGAATTTAACATAAGCAGAGCTGTAATGACAAAAACAGTTTAAAAAGACAATACAGTGAAAGGTTAAACTGCAATGGCAGAAATAATATGACAATGACTTTGACTTAATTAATAAAAACAAGTCACTCCTTAAACTGATTAAAAATTATTATTTAATGGTATAAGTGACTGACCCCTTTCTTTTTTATTTTTACACAAGCAGACACTTTGCTGTTTCACAAAGAGCCCATTCACACCATATCAACAGTACAGACAGAAACATCCCCATGTTGATGTGTGGAGCAGGGGACTGTGATGGTGGAGCACCTCTGTGTGTTTGAATGCAGCATAGCAGGTGAGGAGAACTCTGCCTCTTAACTCTACACCCGTAGAGACAAACAGTGCAAGTGAAGGTGTGAGGAAAGCTGAAGGCGGAGTTGTTTATCCATGATTACAGCACACATGTGTAACCGCAATATGTTACACATATACAAAATAAATTTAAGGGAACTGGACCATTTTCCTTCTAGGTAGGGAATGAAATCTGATATGTATTGAACTCGGTAGCTTTCACACACCGGGAAGTTTGGCAAAGCTTTTATGTTATCCCTTTTCTCATTAAAAATGCAAACTACAATTTTAAGACAAAAACGGTTTCTTTCTTTTTTTTATTTTTATTTAAAGGAATCTTTAAAAAATATACTTTTACGCTAAGGCTACTGCCAGCAGACGGTTAGTTTAGCTTAGCATAAAGACTAGAAACAGGGGGGGGGGGACAGTTAGCCTGGCTCTGTCCAAAGCTAACAAAATCAGCCTACCAGCACCTCTAAAGCTCACTAACTAACATATTATAGTCACAGAACCACAATCGTTGTTTTTACATTTTAGTTTTGTACAAATTAAACAAACAAGACATAACATGATAACTAGAGAGTTTTAGAAGGCTAGCAGCATCCCCCACCTCCCAGTGGTTATGCTGAGCTAAGATAACAGGCTGCTAGCTCCAGCTCCACATTGAACAAAATAAAAGTGGGGACAAGGTAAAGCCACTTAATTATTAGAAGCATTGTGTACTATATTGCAGGGCCTTTCAGATTCTTCAGATAAAGTCTGCAAGCGTCCACTGGGATACGCAGGCTGGATTACACGAGTCAAAGTAAATGTTGCCAAGCTCCCCAAACTTAGAGAAAGTCTGCACCCAGGCTTTTACACTAAAGTCAATAAATAAAACAAATATTTTTTAGCTCAAAATAATAGACGTTCATTTAAGTGTGCAAAGGTTTCAAAGATCCCACATTCAGTGCACCGTGCAAGGTCAGACCATGTTGGTTTGGGTGTTGGGGCTGCGACTCTGCAGGTCCTGTACCTGGTCAAGAACCCAGTTCACGTTTGGTCTCTCCTGGGGATTTGACACCATTATGGAGCTCAGCAGCATCTGCAGGCCCTGCGAGTAGCTGGGCGCAAGACAAACAAAAAACTAATTAAGTGTGATCTGTATTTAGTTATACAAACCTTTATGAGTGACTTTCAATCTTAAGCACAAGCATGCATCATTACCACTAATCACAGGATCATTATTAATATGAATTCTGTATATTTTGCACAAAATGGAACAGGAAGTGAGGTTTCCAGGACAAAGCCGAGTTCATACGCAACAAAAACAATCTAAAACTCAAAAAAACTTTGCTGCAGACAAACAATGGCTTTTAGTAAATTAAGAAAAACAGAAACTGAAACATTAACAGGAAACTTTCTTCAAGTAACCCTGTAAGGTGATGTTATAACTGACCTGCAGGACTGTGGGATGGTCACTGGATTCTGGACAGCCAGGGCAACGCTGTCCCCCTTCTGAAACACCATGTCATACGGCCCCTCCAACATCATCATGCAGTAAAGCACACAGCCGAGTGACTGGAGGAGTGTGAGAAGACATCGAAAGATGAGAGAAAGAAGTAGTCAGCGAAGGATCCACAGTAGCATTAGCACTTGGTCTCAGAGAGCAGAAAACAACAAGCACAACATACAAAGGGAATGAAGAATAGTATTTACCCAGATATCAGTGCGCTCGTCTATAATGCAGTGGCTCTCTACATTAAAGAGTTCAGGAGCCCTGTAAGAAATGGTGCATCGCTGGGCTGCCCAGTCCTGTATGGTCATGGCTTCTCTGGTTCCTCTAACCTGAAATTAACTCAGTGTCATTAAATTAATTACAGGGTAAGGAACACATAGAGGACCTAGTGTATACAAAATGAAAACAAAAAGGTTGCATAACACTCTTGAAATGTTATGTAAATACTTGACAAATTCGTGCACTTACATGGATTATGTCGCTTTGGAGGAAAGTATCAGATTGATACATGTAAAGTGACTTTTTCTCTTATAATTATGTCCGTTGCGTAGAGGAAAAAAAAAACAGCTAAATGTTATAAGTCCAATATGAGTGTTTCAAGGGGGACAATCAGTGTTGTTAGCTCCAACAGCACAGATATGATCAAATAAACTTACGTAACATGTAAAAAAGATCATGACGAACTTATACAAGCTCTATGCGCTAAAATGAGCAACAAACATTGTTGGAAGCATTTACGAAACTTCCTCCAGGCAGAAAACTGTGGAATTTATTGTGCTTTAAGATTAACCCCAAGTGACATGACTTAGGCTTCTAATTGATACATCTCTATTTACATTAGTAAAACATCCAGAAAGCTGTATTCTGAGAAATGAATGAGCATGATATTTTGAATATGTGGTTTATTGGCATTAAAACGTTGCCATCTAGAGGAAAGAATCGGGACCTCCCTTCTGAAATAATAGATTAGTGAGTATTGACATTATCTTCAAAAGGATAAGTTGGCACTAAATGTTAAGAGGTTAGAAATGACCCACTATTGCCATTTGTCTTAGCTTGCTTTCATCCCTCGGTCTTAAATTTAAGACCACTTTCTTGTAGATAAAAGATTCTGAAATATTTTAAATGTCTTACTACAGTAAAAGCATTACTTTCACATTAATGTCCATTACTGTTTAATATCACAGATGAAATAATGGAAGTGGTGCACTCTGTTCTTACACATTAAGAATCCAACCTCATGAACAACACAGCATTTTGCTTTTGGTGCTGCATAAAGAACAAAGTGATCTCAGGCTTAAAATAAACTCATTTGGGCTTTGACAAATAGTATCAATGCTTCTAAAGTGATCGGTACAATGTAACAACATCTTTATAGACTTTGTGCCCTTACCTCAATCCTGGCACGGTTCATAGAGCCCAGGTCCATCAGAAGCGGCCTGTCATCCTCATCCAGAAGCACATTTGTGGGCTTCAGGTCTCTGAGTAAATAATAACATGAATGTTAAAAGATGGTCATTTAGTAAACTGAAGTGGTTCATATTTAGATTAGACGCTTTTTTTCACGACTATGTGCCCCTATCTGAGAGATTATGTGCCAATAAAGAATGTATTACAATAATCAGGTATAGGAAAGACATAATGTCTATTAGCCTGTAGAGAAGCCGGTGCTGGCTTGTCAGCAGCAATCGAGGTAAATCCATCCCTTTGAATCCGTTTCTGCTTTTTGATCACAGTGCAGGGTGTATACTATGATCAGAAGTGACTCCAGGACTTCAAACAGACTCTGGTGTGGCACTCCAAGCCAGCACAAAAGTCTTTATGCTGGGCAAATGTTTGTTTTTATGTGTGCGTGCATGTGAAGACAGATTACCTGTGTGCATAGCCTTTTTCATGAATGGCCTTGAGTCCAGAGCAGATGCCACGCAGGATTTGCAAAATCTGTTTTTCAGGCATTGAGCTCCCCTTGTCTCTTAGCTTCTCCAGAACAGACCACAGACTGCCTTTCTGTTCACACAAACGCACCAACATATCAGAATCAGATCATTTCCACCAGGGTTATTTTGGTTATACTAGCTGCTGCACCAACTTACTCTGATATAAGGCAGAAGTAACCAAGCTTCAGTCTTGCCTCCACGATCAACAAAGGTGTGTGCAACCAGACTCAAGACGTTGGGGTGATTAAAAATCTGATGCATGTCCACTTCTGTCTGAGCCTCCTGATGGCCTTCACGGTCATGGCACAGGATCCTCTTCAAGGCGTAGAAGCGTCCATCCTTGGCCCCCTCCACCAGATCCACATAACTGAACCCCCTAACGAGAAGACACAGAGAGATTGGATTATAGAGATTGGAGTTTCATTTTTTAAAAGTCTAAATAATTTACCATAACAGCTGAGGACTGTATTTATCAAAGATGGGCCTCAAAGAGGAATAAATAGTGCATTTGTGTGGGCATGGATTGGATTTCTAGTTAGTATTAATTGTATCAGGGACAGTGTATGGAGGATAGACTTAAAATAACGCACAGTGTCCGTGTTCATTGTAATGAGATAGATGTCACCCAGTGCAACTGTGAGGCTCAGTGATGTGGTTTTAAATGGTTTCTTGACAGAAAAATAAAATATCATCACGCTTAAATTTAAAGGTGGAGTTAAGTGGAGTTTAATACATCAACTTCAAAATGTTATCTTACCCTTCATCTAGTTTCTGGACAAAGTAATATTTTTTGTTATCAATGGTGAATGAGCCACGGGAGCATATGCACATGGTCTGCCCCATCTTGACTGGTACATTGTTTAACGCCAAGCTTTTAAGGGCCTGGGAGAAATAGGACAAATAAAAAAGTTATTTGAGAATGACAGCCAGAGAAATACAGAAAGAAAATGCAATTCTACTTATTAGCTGAAACATTCATTATTGAAAGCAAACTACGCGATAACCTTTTGGTCCATTGGAGAGAAACATATGGTACGAAAGCTTACAAAGTGTCAACAAACGTTAGCTGTTAGCTGTCAGCTAGCATAGCACATCAGCAACATCTAACATAAGCTACTTCCAGGCTACAACTGCCAAAATGCCACATAAACTTCCATTTTTAACGTTAGCCCAAATCGCTTTGTAATTTCTATTGACTACCTAACACAATGAACAGCTCAACATAACAAACCTATGCTATAATTGGTGGCGTTACGTCTTTATTCTTACCAGCTAGCTGTCTGTTTACCAAATTAGCTTACTGTCATATTTCTCCATCTTCTTCCTCTTCTTCTTCTTGGCTTTAAAGAAGGTTGACAACCAGCGTATAAAGTACATTACCGCCACCTTTGTTTCGGAGTGAAGATCCAAGATTAAATTCTACCCTACCTACCCGATAATGTACAGCTATTAATCCTGTTTTTTAGATAAAATCATCGAACAATTCTAGCGCTTTATCAACTGGGCAGATTTATTATTGGTTTTTTCTACTCCTCCCATAAATGCACAAGATGTTCACCCCCCCTTATTGTGCAAATAAATATGTGCAAAAAGGGATCTGCCAATATCCTGTTGTACTTATACTCGAGAAAACAACGTCTTTGATCATTACTGAAAAGATAAATAGATTTTTTTGTACTTGTACACCCCCATGTTCCACTACAAATTGACTTAATGATATTTAATTTCCAATCATTAGTCAAACTGTTACTTGAATAGTTCTTTACTCTACAGGTCTTCTTCATTCTTCTTCTCTAAAAACAGTCTGCATGGAGCATGTTTGTTACACAGCGCTGGAGGAGTGCAGTGGCATGAGCTGGAGAGAGTTTCACAGAAGAAATCATGGCGGATTACGAGCATAACAGAAGAGGTGGCACCGACGACGGAGGTGATATTTATGCTGTTTTAACGTGTAAATGTGGTTGAGAAATAGGAAGTATTTAGCGTTAGCTCGAGTTGCTGCCTATCCATTAAAAGTGTCCCTAGCTAATGTTAGACAGAGGAATTGTTCGTACAACTTCACTAAGCTAACTTAATGTTAGCTACGTATCATTGGCTAGCTAATGCTAACGCGGAGTAACAGTTTCATTTGTATTAACGTTCCCTATTTGGCTATGTAAAGGCGATGGGCAGTAACTACCAAGCTAAAGATACTTCTAACGTTAGACAGGGTATAAAGCAACGCCTATCTTGCAGCAGGAAGGTGTCTTGTTAGTTTGCTAAACTGGCATTAGCCTAGCTAGTGTGCAAGTTAGTTAGCACAGGTTAATAACACCATATTAGTAACAGCGTTATCTGCTCTCAGACCCTAATGTACGTTACTCATACACACAGTCCCTATGTGGACTTTTAAAACACTAAGTTAACTGATAACACAACGGTAAGAACTTAAGTTAATATTTGGTTAGTTAATGGCAAGAAACGTAACGTTAGGAACAGAGGTAAAGGTGATAGCTTTTATTATTCTCAAGTTCACAGGAAACGGTTGTTCACCTTGTTGAGTTGTCTTGCCTCAAGCAGGGCCGCAGGAGGAGGAGGACAGAGTGAACACTAAGCCTGTCTCTTGTAGCACTGTGGGAGGAGAAGGGACCGCGGGCAAACGCACATCCGAGCATCTCGCACCTGAAGACGAGGACGAGTCCTCAGAGGACCCACCAGCCCCCCGCAAAGTCTCCAAGATAGGCTTTAGCATGAGCAGTCCGATGGGGAAGAAGTCGAACCCCATATCTATCAAACTTGGAGCAACAGTGAGTGTGCAGCATTGCGTAGTGACTGCCTGAACGCACAGCCTGTCCATTGATTAAATGATTCCATTTATTTATCAAGTGAAGAACAGCTGCAAAATCTCACATTTGATACGTTTTACCATCGTTTCTTTTGAATTATACGAACAGAGTGAAGAGGTGTGATGCTTTTTCGGTTCCCTATATCTCACATCTGCAATCTGTTCTAGAAACCCAAAGAGCCCCCACCGTCAGCTCCTCCAAAAAAGTCAGGGCTGGCGTCTGTTTTTAACGAAGATGAGGATGACGTAAGAGCGCAAACAGACACACATACACACAGTAATGTCCTAGTTGTAGAAATCCTTAAACATATATGCAGAGGCTGATTTAAACTCTCTCATGCCATGCGCAGAGTGAACCCGAGGAGATGCCCCCAGAAGCAAAGATGAGGATGAAGAACATTGGCAGGTATAACCACACAGATACATGGTGTACTTTATAATTTTTCCCTCAGCTTCTGCTTTTATCAATTTTTTTTTTCCCGAATTAAGTTATTTGTGACATGACTGATCTGCTATCTTTTTAGGGAGACACCAACTTCTGCGGGACCTAATTCCTTCAACAAGGGCAAGCAGGGTTTCTCTGATCATCAAAAACTTTGGGAGAGGAAGATGAAGGCCCAAGCAGACAAATTGTAAATGACTACCACAGTTTTTGTGACTAATGGATGCTTTTGTATAGTTTAAACCATGTCAGAGATATCTACGAAGGCTCAAAGGATTATTCACTGTACCCTCGGTTTTGACAACTTCTCAGCTTTGTGGACATGCAATGAGGAATACTTTAAGCCTTCGATACTCAGTGACTGAACTCAAGTTTACGTTTCTAACCACTACCGGCTGACACTAAGTGAGAGGAGCGGTACCAGTGTGTCAACCCTCTGTGATGAGAGGTGCGGGGGGAGGGGGGGGGGGGGGGGATATGGGACAAACAAAATAGCCATTTAAACTGTGTAGAATTATAAGGTTGTTTTCAGCTGGATAATGAAAAAAATCTAACATCGTAGCGCCCTCATTCCCCTTTTGTTCCTATCTGAAGCTGGTTGGGTGTGGTCCTGAGCAAGTGTCGCTTGTCAAATATTTGTATAAAACGTACATAGAACTGTGATAATGTTTTATTTTTAAATCCACAAATGGCAGTGTGTGTGTTTAAGAGTTATGTTATTGTGCGTGGGCGGCTTCGACTCGACGTACATGGATTGTTGGTTCATTTAGTTTCTCAGCATCGATGTACAATGCTTTGTTTTCACCAGCTGTGACGCCTCATGGGCAGTTTGTTTTGTCTGAGCTTTGTGCCAGTATTTCTGGATTTGCTTGTTCAATGCTGTGTTTCTGTAAGTCTGCTTTACGGAATCTGGCAAAAAATGTGTGTGATTTTTTTTTTTTTAATTTTTGTTATGTTCACAATGACAGGACTGCTAATGTGCTTTTAGTTGACAACTGTGAAGTCACGGAGTTACCAGGGTGCTGGTAACAGTCATATTTAAGGGACAGTTCACCCCCCAAAAATATGAATAAATATATTTCCTTTTACCCGTAGTGCTACTAATCAATCTAGATTGTGTTGGTGTGAGTTGCCTAGTTTTGGAGATGTGGCCGTAGAATTGTCTGCCTGCTCTCGAATATAAAGTGACTATACGGCGCTCGGCTTGTGGTGGTCAAAGTGCCAAAACAATACATTTGAAAAACTCAACAGGAATGTCTCTTTTCAGTAATCATGACACAGGTTAATCAAAATATTCAACAGACCGTGTTGTGAGCAGTTTTGTGTAGGAACTATTTTCTTTCTACCAAACTACACCCTCCAACCGTATCACAACAGTGCAGAAGAGAGCGTGCATCTACTCATGGACAAGAGGCTCGTGCACGCGCAAGAGCGTCCTCCTCAGCTGAGCAGTAACATTAGCTAGCTCAGTGGTGCTAGGCGAGCTAGCAGTATAGATGCGTTCTTGCTCCCGCTCTGTGATCAGGTTGGTTGGTGCAGTTTGGTAGAAAGAAAATAGTTCCTACATGAAACTCCTCACAACAGGATAACTAATGTGTTTTTTTTTTTGGCACTTTGAGCACCACAAGCAGAGTGCCATATAGTTCCATCTTTTTCTTGAGATGGCAGACATCTCTACAGCTGATGTCTCCTACACAAGGCAACTCACACCAAAACCATATAGATTAATAAATAGCACTACAGGTAAAAAAAAACAAAACATGTTTTGACTTTGGGGAGGAACTGTCAGGTTACAATGCAGATTAGCAATAATTAGGTACTCAAAACATTTTTCATTGCCACTTTTAACATCAGCAAGCCCAAACTTCAGAATTAATACGCCAATCCTTTCAGTTCAGATAAATGTGGTTGCTTCTCCTGTGCCTGACTTTTGGAAAATTCCCTTAATTAAAAAATATAAACTCTGTGAGCTATCTGACTGTTGTGCTTTCCCAAATGAATCACATCCAGTGCTCCGACCTGTTTCATCAAACAACTCTCTTCATTACATATTTAAACGTCAGTCAAATAAAAAATTTGAATGATTATGTGTCAAATGTTTATTGCTGACATGTCTGCTGTGATGATACATGAACTACATCCCACAGCATATGTTTTCTCTGCTTAAACTTATATAGAAAGAGACTCATTTAAGGTTGTTTGAGTTAAATTGTTAATAGCATCCATCTTTTTGGGATTTTATATTTTGTTTATCAACATATTAGTAGTGTTGGGATCTGACCCTGCTCTCCTGGCTGGCTGAGACCTTCACACGTGCTTTTCAAACAAAGGAGCAGCCATGTTCCTTCCTTTCACCAAAACGCCTGACCTGGGGTCTGCAAGAAACCTCATGCCGGATGACCACACCCCCCAGCTCCAGCAGAAACCTGATGCTGGTCCCTCATTGGCCAAGAAAGGGCCCCCCACTGGCTGTGCCACCTGGTTTATAAGCCAGAGCACAGCTTCATTCTTCCTCTTCACTCCGGACACACGCTGGTGTCAGGAGGTCCACAAGGCCTCCTGACACCAACGCGTGTCTCGTCCAGGGGACAAGAAGATCCACAAGGCTCTTCTGTCCAGACATGCTGATGTGAGGAGGTCCACAAGGCCTCTTCACTCCGGACCTCGTCCTGGCAACAAGATTCACGAGGAACCGCGGCCTCATCAAATCCTATCAGGTCACATGTAAGTTACTGTCGTTTTATAACGTGTTATTGCGCAAGCATCGCGGCCCACGGAGTCCCGTTATATTGTGTATTTCCTGCTGTAACTGTTTGCATTAGATCCGTCGCTGCTAGTGGATGTGGAGGTTGTGATTTTATCACTTCAAAGACCAAAACCACGGTGGCGGAGCCTCGTCTCACCTACCGAGTTTCGGGGTGATAAGAGGGCAATACTCGCATCTCACCGCAGTGATAAAGATCTGTTTTGTTTGGTTTCATTCTCTCTTCTTCGGCTCTGTGAGTGAGATCTAGAACCGCAACTATCACCGTACCAGCGTGACCGGTCGGTTCAGAATCCGACCGCAGAGTTTACCAGTGATCAGCTGTTCCTCACATTCTCACTGCAGCACCGCGCTCAGAGCTTCTCTGTCTCTCTCTCGCTGTCTACCTCTCTTCCTACTAACCCGCATACACATAGTCAGATTCACTGATTTCCGGTGAACCTCTCAGACACGTGGTCGCGTAATCTATTGTCCCAACCCACATTGTGCGCCGTCCCACGTGGTTACACGTAGCCACCTCTCAGCTATCTTGTCGCGGGTCCCTAGACTCCGCCATCTGTGCGTGTAGGCTCACACGCCCCTTTTTAGGTTTGTACCATCACTGTTTGAGTAGGCCCCCCCTTCGTTTCCACACACTCGCTCACACATGTACATATATCTATATACATATCCTTACCCCACTTTATTCATTTGACTTTAGGTATTAGACATATAATTGTATGATATTGTTTGTTGATTTTGATATTACTTGATTTGATCATTTATTATTTTATTTAATAAACTTATATTTTAAAGAGCAGTCGTCTGTGATTACTTGTGCATATGTGTGTAATAATAACTGGATGTAGTGGCATGTGCTCGAATTCAAACCTTCACTCTCACTCCAAACGTGTAATAGAATTCAGACTGTTAATATCGTGAGTGAACACTAATTATGAGACTTAGTTTATAGTTTGGTTATTGGTCCCTGTCCGCAGGGTGGTGCCCCGTTATTATTAATAATTGTTACTGACATTAATAATTCTATTGATGTCGAGAATTTAGTTTCTTAGATGCTGATAACCCAAACACGCTCCTCTACGTTCCCAACAGTAGACATCCTTATATTGATTATTTTTAATGCTTGTAGAGTTGATAATTGATTGATTTGCACTGTTTAACTGAAAGTTTATTTTTGATACAGATGGAAATCAAAGATCAGGTGTGTAGAATGCAGTAACGGGCTGCATTGTAAAATAAAAACGCTGTAAATCACTGCAGGATAAAATGTTTCTGGTTCTGCATGAGTGAAACCAGCTTCACTTTCTGATCAGGCATGGCCTTCTTCAAAGACCTCCAGAAATTGCTGGTGGGTTTGCCTGAGGTCCAATCCAGACTGGGTAGCACCTTCAAGGCCCTTTGGACCAGGGTGGGCAGCGGGGAGTCCGGCTGGATGAGGGATGCTGAGGCTCTACTGGTCCATATCAGCAGGAGTTTGAGGGTAGAGTCTTGCAGCAAAACCTGAAGATATGGACAAAGTAGCAAATCACTGATGATTTGTGTTTTGAACAATACAAATGGTGGTTTAAAAAAAATAATACACATTATGTCATAAAAAAAAAGAAATGTAACCACTCAACACAACATAGATGACAGATTGTCCTACCATCCACTCCCCACTGGTTTTAGTTTATGTAAGAATATCAATAGAAGGAAACCAATGGTTATTTGAGATTCATACAGGATTTATGTTGCTGGGAACTCAAACCAGAGGACAATAGTTTCTTGCAATATAAAAGGGCACTGTTAAGTTTCAGTCAGTGACAACATATCTGCAGCAAACACTGTCACTACTGCAAACTACAGTGGCTAGGAAAGTCATTGTCTCATAATGGAGAATACAAGTGTACATTTGAGCAAAAACTTATTGTGAAAAATTATATTTTGTATTTGAATCCATCCATTGATTTTATCCCCTTATATTCAATAGTGGTTGCAGTAAAGTAATTATTTATTGTTAGGAATTAGTTTAATGTACTGCTGGGAAGTACAAAAAATTAGATCTTTACTGGTTTTCCGTCACATTTTCATACTTTGGCCGGTATGAACGCAGAACGGGTATTAAACTGCATTCTGTGGTATTTACAAGGTCTTACATTTTTTTTATTTATTTACTTAAATTTATGTGCGAACCCTGCAGAATCCCTGGGTCTATAGTAGGTCTATTTATCTGTTAACTTTTATGGAAAAGACAATGTTTTGTTGTGGTTTTTCAACATCCAGTATAACAACTCTAATTCCTGTGTCAACACTGGCGTTGTGCTTATGCCATGTTCACGTCATGTGGGATGGATGTTTTAATTTCCCTCTGGGGATAAATTAAGTGTAACTAAATAACTATCTATCGAAGGGATGAGAAAGAATCCAATAATTAATTACTCAGGAGCACCCAAGTCATCTGGACGTTTGTATGATTACAGAGTTGGTCCTGTGGGGATTAAAATAATGTGCATGGACAATATAAACCATATCAATTTGGCTTTAATAATATTGAAAGACTGTCTTTGGCAAATGTGAAGCATCCATATTTGTTTGGTTTTCTGACACCTCCATATTATGAAGCGACAAATTCCACATATCAGAGCTTTCAGAAAAATTGGAGTTTCCCAGAAGTTGTTAGTTACGATAACTCCGACATGAACGTGGCATTTGTCCTTTGCTTTCTGTGAAATGTAGTTCCTACCTGGACTCCCGATTCCAGCACAAACACAGCATTGCTGTTGGAGAGGTAGTCAGCTGATAGGAGACAGATTAGCATTCGGCTTCTCTGTATTGCAAGGACCACATCATTTGTATATGCTGCAATACAAAATGGGAACCATCAGGAACATTTGCGGTCAATACACACACACACACACACACACTTGATCCTCTGACCTCCTCCAGGAACCACGTCCCTCTCCAGCAGACAGAGGCGATACCCCCACCGGTCCTCTAACACTTGGGGCAGCACCACTTCTAGTGGCCTCTGGGTGGACTTACCCTCCTCAGTGTTCAGCGGGTCCATGCAGGATAAACATGCTGCAAATAAAAGTCATTGCTAATTTACTCTTCCAGTGTAGTTACATGACAATAAAATCCAGATATCATGCACAGGACACGTTGGCCTACCTTCCTCATCAGTGTCAGGTCCTCTCTGGGAGGAAAGCGTCGAAACTCCCATCACCTCTGCTGATGGCGGGCTCCACACATACGACAGAAGCACATCGAACTCTTTCTCATCTGATTGGTGGTGGACGTGAAAGAAAATTTTTGAAACCAAAACAGAACAGACATTTAAACCTGCATTCTTGCATGTATTTTTGTTCCTCGTGCAAATGTAGTAACACTTTGAAGTGAAGTGATTCGTTTGTTTTTGTCAATACCACATGAAGTGCAATATAGTGTCCGAGCACATATAGTGGATTTAGGTAAGGACTTCAAAGTATTATGATAATATTTCAGTTACTTCATTAATTTAATGCTTTGTAGGGTTGAATAAGCTGAAAACAAATCTTAATTTTTTGCTCAGGCTTTATAAAATAACCCACATCCTGTAAAGAGAAGCAGCTACTTGTCTTTATCTCTGTTGTTCAGTTAAAGTCTGCATTTCTGTGGAGGAAGCAGCTGTTATTGGAGCGATTAGCAAGCGGCGTGACCAGCGGCGTTATCAGCCCTACGGAGTGTGTGTGTGTGTGTGTGTGTGTGTGTTTTACCCATCTTCTGGGGACATGTATCTGATTACACAGTCGCATTGTGGGGACTTGCTTTTTTGAGGGGACACAATGGGGACAATTGCACTTCCCCATAATGTAAATTATTACATTTAGGGTGAAGACTTGGTTTAAGGTTAGGGTAAAAGTTAAGATTAGGCTGGTAGCGGTTAGGGTTTGGGGAAGTCTCCGAAAAATGAATGTAAGTCAATGCAATTTCCCCAAAAGTCATGAAAACAGAGGTGTGTGTGTGTGTGTGTGTCTGCATTCTAACCTCCATCATGTTTTCCATGTTGGAAGTGGGATCTGAAGATAAGTTGTATTTCCAGCCATTTCACATGTAAAACGATTCCTAGTCCAGCTACCAACAGCAATGAAGCAATGGGATACCCAACCAGTGATGGCCATTTCACTGAAACACAGTCAAAAATGTGCACATTGAATTGTGTTGTGTCTTTAAAGGATCAATAATGTTTGAGTTTTAAACACAGACTTGACTTATTACCACCATATGAAGTTGATATGGTGAACTTCTTGGAAGTTACTATGTTACACATCCAGCAGACACAGAGCAACATTAGCATTCATTTAGAGCCATGTTTGTGTCCAGTATTCACTCTCCTTTTAGCTCTTTAGTTTTGGATTCCACCCCCACCCTATCTATCGTCAGGTGATGGGTAGATAAAAAAACATTATGAAAACAATGCTGATGAGAGCAGTTGGAGTGAACCAGTGGCAGTTGCAGGCCATAAAACCAAAAACGTGAACTGAAAGTGAGTGAAGATCATAAGAGTGATCCCGTTCATATTAAGCATAGTGATTTGATCCCTTGCCAATACAAAATATTGGTTTGTCTAGCTTTAATCATTGCCTGCAGAAAATTAAAACTAATGTTTCAAACTTCCAGTTGGTATCAGTCAGTGGCCTTATGTGTGAAAAGTTACCTTAGGGATGGTGTCACCATCCAGCTTACTGGATTGGTTACATTTTTTACTTTATCGGATAGAACGTTTTCAGTTTGAGCGATATGAGGTTTATTTGAGCTGCAACGTAACAATGTTATGATAAAATATTGTATGAATAGAACATATAATGGTGACAATTGAAACAACAGTACCTTTAATCTTCTCCTTGAGCTCAATGGTGCCCCTGCTGTTTCCGACAATATTGCTGGCGATGCAGGTATATCTGTTGTTCAAGTGTTCGGGAGTCACCTCTTTAATGATGGCTTTTCGTATGACCTCGTACACTGTAAATGTCTCTCTCTGTCTGAATCAGAGGAAGAATTTCAGCTCCCTTGCATCCCAAGGAATACTTATCATTTAGCTGAATCCTCATACTTAGAAGTTTACAATATAACAAGCAATCACTGGTGCAGCATAATGAAAGACTGTCAATGTTTGCTTTAGCTAAGACATAACTGAGGGACTGCAGTGACTCACTGTTGCTCCTCCATTGGTAGTAGAGTCATATTCTCCATGTTGCTACCGTAATTCATGTACCACAGCACCTCCCGTGAAAACTCTCTCTCAAAATCAAAATGTACCTTACACATCAGAGTGTGAGGTTGACCTAGAATGGGTACAAAAACATGGCCATTATAATTTAACACTTAATAAAATAATAAAAGTGATAATACAATTGAATGTCTTAAAATCATACCAAATTGTAAGATGCACAAATGAGTCATTCAGACAAAGATGAGAGCATCATCTCATCAGGGCAGATATGTAGCCTAAATGTAAGCTACAGCAACATGTTGAGCATTAAAAGTCAACAATTACAACCAGTCAACATTAGAATGAAATGTTAGATAGCAGCTGAGTTCATTATAACTAAAAGATCTAACTTTGAGTGGGCAACTCTTGGAACTTGTCAACAAGTGAGTTTCAACAAACCAGAACACGTGAACGCTGGGATGTTTGCTGCATAGCGTATCAGTTACAGGCTAATTATAGTGGTGTTAACAGTGTTTTGCTTTAAGTGACAACAACTTGGAATAGTTTTTCCCATTCGTACAGCTGATATAGCTCCGAAAAGGCATTTTAAAACCATCTGAATGAGTTATTAAGTCAGCTGTGGGATTGTGTCATGTCATTTGGACACACTTACCAAGCTCCACTTTCTCTGTTATGTTGCCATTGGGATAAATAATATTGGGAGAGTCACTTGCTTCGGCAGCTGTTTGGGCATGGGAGATAAAGTCAGATAGTTCTGCATAATAATCTGTCTAGTTTACTATGTTTCAGTCAGGAACACTCTCGTCATAGATTTTTACCATTTATTGCAACAAATGGAAATACAGTTAAACTTGGCGATGATGGCTCCGCTCTTTGAATGCTCCCCAGATTAGCTAGCGGCTACCAAGCTAAGACGGGGAGTACCGAGCAATAACCCCCAAGGGTTTACAGGAATGAGCCGAAGTACATTTTTAAAATACAATTCAACCATTTGCCATGAAAGATGAACTCTGAACTAAAAACGGGTGGAGGCTGGGGATGAGGAGGCAAAGCTTTGCCAGCAGTACGGTCTGTAACGTAGGTGTAGAATGAATCAGTGAGGAGGGAAACATATTTAAATAAACCTTAAAGTGAGAGTGGGCTGTGATTGGTGTGTGGCCGATTGGAAGCTATGATTCAATTGGCTGGCTGTCAGCTGGTTACAGCTGGGGGCGTATGACTTCCGTGTCCTGCATGAACTTACGCTAGCTTCATTTCTGAGAAACATACATAATGTACAAATCAGTTCTGAGCTCTGCTTTGACACACAACACCACCCACATGTAAGACCTGTAAGAACACTTCATATGATAAGAGGAATCAATAACCCAATCAACGAAACAGCTTGGCAAGTTGTGTATGGAAGATTTAAAATGACTAAATGAAAAAAAATCAAACAAAGAAATAAAGTGAAATACAAGTTGCACTGTTATGAATTTCCTTTTTCATGTATGCATGCAAGGTGTCATAATTAAATGAAAATCATATATTAAAAAGTAATGAGGTGTATTGCATTTCAGACTAATAGCCATGCCATCTGTTAGGCTGTATATCGGGCCAGCAGAGCCTTGAGCTAAACGCTAATGTCATGCTAACATGCTAACAGATAATAATGAAAAGCTGCATGCAAGGACACTAAAGAAGAATTGCCTGCTTGTGATACCCTTTAATGCCTTTTGTTCTCAAAACAGACTAGAAGGTATTGTCGCCACAACTATCTCAAGCATGCATAGCATCCTGCACAGTAGGGCAATGATTGGAGTAACCACACAGGCAGCTAACCACATGCAGTGGAGAAAGCCTGTGGTTTTGGGGGTAGGCAGCCAGATATGAAGCAATTTAGAGGGTGAGTGTTCAAAAACAATCTCCTTTTAACCTTTTTACTGAATTTGAAAAAAACCATCATGAAGTAGTGACTTCCTCAGCAAAGGCTTCTTTCTTAATATTTTTAGTAAGTAGCTTTTAGAAGCTCACACATCCGATAAAAAGTTTGTTGAAACTGATCAAAAGGTCGATGTTCTCAAACATGTCTGAAATGCCAACATGCAAATGGTGGTTTGTATTATAGGGTGTAGACATCCCTCATTGTAAACAAATATATACAGTATATCTGTTTTCCCTAGTATTCTAAGAAAAGGTAATTCTGTTTAAAATGTTTAAATACTGTTGGAAAAACATCTGACTATAGCATATATCATCGATACACATATCTTTTCAAATAAACAATTTTGTGTAAGAGTGGGTGGCAAAGATTGCTAATGAGAGCACCTGTGTGAGTACGTCACAAGATCTAAAAATGTGGGATCGAACATTTTTAACTCCGGTTATGTGTATAATCCCACAAGTAACAAAAGTTATGTAATTGTTATTGTATTGTAGTAGTTTCTTTCTTTATTATATTAAGATAAGATAAGTGGCTTGCTGCTGGACCTGTTAGCATGCTAGCGTTACAGGTCCACAAGTACAGACAAAAACACAGAATAAGAACGGCCTCATCTTATTTGAGCATACTAACATTTGCTTATTAGCAATAAACCAACGGATATTTGGTAAGATATTTCAGCCTGGACCACTGACCGACCAAGTAACAGGCCAACATTTCCATCCCTAGAGTCCACTAGCATTGCTAAAATAAATACATGGTGGTGTGAACACAGCTCCTCTTTTTTGCTGTACAAAGTGGCCATGTGATAACTGTGATAATATTTATTAAATACAATATAATATAATGTAATTATAACATGTTTGTATAGTTGTGTATTATCGCATTCTTAACCTCTACCACACACACACACACACACACACACACACACACACACACATAGCACTCACGTAAGGCTCTGACGTTAACAGCCCTCCTGAAGGTCCAGATGACTCCTTGCTCAATTATTTGTCGATCACAGAAATATACACCAGTATCAAGTTTATTGACTTGGCAGAGGTGTAACGTCCCCCCCATCTGACAGGAGGATCTCTTCTGCTCAGACACAGCTTTGTTACCCTGTAAGAAAGCACACATGTTGTGAGTTTTTGCAGCGATTTATATGTTTCCATAGTGAGACGTATAACGATGTTCATGTGTGTTCTTCACCTTGTACCAGATGGCATGTGTGTTGTTACTACAATTGAGACCGGGGCAGGGGACTTTCCCACCTACATCAACGTACAGCTCTATACTGTTCTGCTCAGGCTGGACACATTCCAGACTGATCTCTGACCTCTCCACCACCTGCAGTTGGAAGAACAACTCGCTGCCACTGGACAGCATAGACCTGAACACTTGATAGAAGTTCAACCACATGCAATTTACACACACACACACACACACACACAACCATTGTTTGCTATTTAGTATACCAGAAAGGTTTTTAAAGTTGCAACTAATGACTTTATGAAATATATGTTAAACATTTGTAAATGCTAAGTAAAGTATTTTTGGGTTAAGGACTTAATGTAAGTAAACCTTAATCTGGATTGTTGTCTTGCCACCCAACTGCTGTAGTCCATGTAGTTCATGTAAATTAAAAAACAGGCCAAACTCTTTACTACTGAGACCAAATATCAGATGTGGATTGATGGAAATGGCACCGTTCATTAATTGCACACTTACAAACCTTACAAAGAGCTATTGGCATAAATAGAATATAATATTGATAACTATGTTTTTATTAGTGTATAATTACCTGAAACTAGATATTTCCACCTGTGTAGGTCAGTGGAACAGTATGAAACCATTGGCAGCACTGTGTAGCACCACATTCTCGTATGTGAACAAACAAGACATGGACCCACTCAGAAAAACATCTCTCCATAGTGCTAGTGGTTAAAAACTGTAAACAGACTTTGACAATATCTTGTGACTTCACTTAGACTGTAGCTATTATATATAAAAAGTGTGCAGGGAATCAACGATTAATTTTCCTGACAACACACAGCCTATATTTCAATTATTCATGTTCATCATCTCTTAAGCAAAATTTGTTGAAGAGCACATATCAACTTGTTTAGGAGTAGAAACACAATGATTAGGATATTTGTGTTTTCTTGGGACTTGATTATGAACTCCACAGCTAAGTTTAAGAAGCAATATTGGTTATTATTATGGTTTTCAATGTTCATACGGGCATGTGAGTGTTGATTTAAGACAGACTTGAAAAAATGTCAATCTACCAGTCCCTTAATGAATATACTATATTTTAAAGTGGTTCCACTCCGCGTCATCAAAGTATTTACAAGTGAGTTGCCACATTAGTGAAAAACATTGTTTAAACTAAGTTTAATCAGACACATCTGGGGAATGAAACATGATTATTTACCTGCACGCGTACTTTCCAGAATGTTTTGCTTCCGCTGGGAACCCTCTCCCACAGACGAAGGATGTACCATCAGCTCCTTCTCCGGTCCTGGAACACACCACGTCCATGTGCCGGTTCACAGACTTATTGCACGGCATCATGAACATTTCCCCCTCCACAGCTCTGTAGTGCTGGTGTGTAGCATCTCGCTGAAGACCTAGAGAGAGTTGTGTTTCTGTTTCACTTCAATCGTACAGTCAGACATAAACAGATTCAGGACACCCTTTATAATGACATACATGCTTCCTTTTAAACCCACATTCAAAAGCACAGTACCTGTTTTTTTTGGTTGACGGTTTCCCGAACAGCATCCCTCCGAGAAAATGGGAAAGATAAAAAAAAACAGAATGTATCCAGTTTCCATCCTTCGTCACTAATCTGTTGATATTCCTTGTAGATTTCCGTCATGATAATGATGAATTCAGGCTCCTTCACATTTGAGCATCTTTTCTGTGCATAACCACACCTAGAGTTCTTGGTATTTTGTCATCGTCACTGTTTTTTGCTCCTCATCTCCCTCAGCATGAGCGGCAACATTTTCGCAGGACATGTAGGTGTAGGTGGTATGGTTTCCTGTTTGGTCGCTTTTGAACATGATTTCACAAGAAACTGCTGTAATATTGTGTTCCTGTAAATTGCATACCACTTCCTATGTGAACTACGGAAGAGTTGTTAAATTTTAGTGGTGAGTAGAATGCACTGCCAATTGGAGATACAAAAGGTAGAAAACATAGTTCCTTTAAGAACAACAGACAGATACATGCAAGCATGCGTTTTAATATGATCAAATTCAGGTGAAAAGGGAGACACAAAACAGAACACCTGCAAGAAATGTTTAAAAATTAAAAAGAGAAATCCAGTTACTACATTCAAATTTATATCGGGGATTGTAATAATGAGCCCCTGTGAAAAGCAACACCTCAACTTTCTGGATATGTCAGTAGTAACAGTGTATACTGATGTGATCGTGCATCGACTAATGTTACAACCAGAAGCAACTTTACATTTTTACATTACATTCACAATCACTTTACATGTCTTTGCATCAGCTGTCATACTAAGAAGGGAACACGTGGAGGGCAATTGAACCATGCAAGATGTTACATTGACATATTAAGACACCAAAGTTAAATGATAAAAAAAAAAATTAAAAAAAAAGTATTATGTCTTCAGCAGCAAATGTCTTTCCCTAGTATGCATTTTTTATATACTGTGTTTGTAAGTCATATACTGAAAACAGATATAATGAAAGCTATTCGTTCTGGCATGACATAACATCCTAGACCAGGGGTGTCAAACTCATTTTCACTCTGGGCCACATCAGCATCACGGTTTCCCTCAAAGGGCCGGTTGTAAATGTAAGACTGTATACATGTAACTACTCCCTAACATATTGGTCAATAACTCTCTGCATTTGATTATTGTTTATTCAAGTGTAAAAATATTGTACATGCAGTTATATAAATGTAAAATGATATTTAAGCACATTTCTGTTATAACATAAATCATTTTAATTTAGGGTTAAGAAACCCACATTACTCTATCAAAGATCAAACTATTAAAGAAAATAACAAAGACAAATATCATCAAACACAAGTTATTACATGAACTTTGTTCAAAGCTATTTTTGTCACCTCTCTGCATCACTAATGTCCCTGCCGTCGTCCAGTGCAGGGCAGCTACATCCAAGAGCTCCTCACTGAGAGTCAGGTCTGCCTTCAGCGTCTTACAAACATTGATAGATGATGTATCTCGTCTCTTAGCCAGCTGTGTTGTTAGATTGCTGCTAGTTCCTGAACTCGGTCTGCGATGGTGTTTCTTCACAAACTGACATTTGTAAAAGTCTGTATCTGGTCGGAGCTCACCTGCTCACATACCTTTAGCAGCACTGGGCTGTAGCTTGTGTAAATATATTCTGCTGTGATTGCAGTCTGCCTTTTAATTCTTTCACAATTTTATGTTTTTCTTGGAGGCTAAATTTAGCTCCGTGTTTGGTGTCAAAATGCCGACGTGAATTGTATCCTTCATCACCGACATGCATCATAACACAGAAGACAGACCCGTTTGTTCTCCTTGAAGCACAGACATGTATTCGCTTTCCCATCTTAAATTACATCTTCTTCCCTCTGCATCAATTTTTCTCTTCGTGGACATTTTGGGATTATTTGTCGATCTTTTTCAACTCAATCACTTGTTGGAAAACCGCTTTACGGGCTGTTCCCTCTCCTGTCCACCTGTTGTGATAGTTTTAATGTCGGAACACAGACAACATGCTATCTCATAATTTCAACTTTCTCTCTCATCATTTCGACCATGGGGATATTTTTATTTTCAAGTCTAACTTAATTTTTTTTTTCCAAAATTAAAAAAAAAAAAAAAATTTTTTTTTTTTTTTGCTGGTGGATTCGCGGGCCACATAAAATGACGTGGCGGGCCGGATTCGGCCCGCGGGCCTTGAGTTTGACACGTGTGTCCTAGACTGTCTAAGGTAAAAGCTTTATTTTGGATGCCTGCTGCGGGGCCGGTAGGTGATAGCGTAGCTGCTTCCAGAAGGAGGAAGAATGCGGCATGGAGCTCATGCCCTTCCACGTGACACAATCTCCGGCCTCGCCAAGAAGCTGCAAGGCCTCTGGTAACGAACCAGATCTCGACGCTTCTGTTGTCTCAGTTTGGATGAAAACCAAGCGAGTCTGCCGCTCCACAAGGGCTGCATGGATGGCGCTCAGCAGGCCAGATCCTGGACCAGGATCTGGGGAGGAGGGAACCAAGACCACCGTCCGACTCTGCTCTATGCAGTCCAGCACTGCCTCCGCTGCAGCTGCAACCAACCAGAGTTTAGATTATTCTTTATTTCATAAAGATTTGTAGGTAGATTTTCTCTATTTAAAGAGTATGTCTTATGTACGTACCTTTCCCTGGTAAGACGTCACGATCATAAAGACAGAGACTGTACCCAAACCTCTCTTCCAAAACACTCTCCAGACATTTTCTGTCATCTTCATTTAGTCCTGCGTCTGTGTCGCTTTTGTAACACATCAAAAAGGCATCATAGCTCTTTCCATCTAAACAAACAACAACAAACAAGAAACAGCTTTGTCACTTCTGTCATATTGTCTGACATTCAGATATGTACCTCTTAAACATGAGTTGTTAGCTACAATGAACCAAAAACATGAATCGGACCTGAGGTGCTGCTATGGCAGCCAAGAGTGTCTCTTAGGAAAAGAGTGATGTTGATTGTGAACCTCACATAGATAACGACTGTCAAAACCATCACCACCATAACGCAGACAATGCTGAGAGCCAGGGGAATGTAACAAGGACGAGCTGTGGGGAAACAGCGAGAATATGTATTAAAATGTTCATTTAAACACTCATTAATGGTAGTGGTCACTTGAATCTGAATGAAAGCTGGCTCAAAAAGGCTTTTCTGACATTTTGTTTTGAAGACGATTCATTCATTATTTCAAACGTGATAATCGTTAGTGGCAGCACCACTCAAGAAGTATAATTACACAAGTAGATTCAACAGGTTTAAGATTCAAGGCAAGGTTCTTGAACACACATTAGGTCTATCCATCCATCTTACGTATGCGTTTTTGGGCCAAGGTGATGGTGACGTTTGAGGGTACAGATACAGAGTCCAGACTACAGGTGTAACTTTTTGATAAATCTTCCTCTGACACGCTTTTGAAGACTAGAGATGCCGTCATCTTTATTTTTCCATCCTTATCTTCACTGGAATGGAAAGAAAAGTGAGAAAGACAAGCTTTTTGTGTGTGTGTTGAGTGTTTATGTGGCCACTTTAAACATTTGCACTTCCAGACTCAGTTGTGTGAAGTGTTTACCACGTGTAATTGTAGAAAACAGGAAAGCTGTTGTTCCTTTTCACCATTGATTTCCCGTCTAACCATAACAACTCGTCAAGGTCTGAATACATAACAGCTTCACAATCAATCACCACTGTTGCACCTAGAAAAAGCAGAGTTTACACAAGATTGAAAAGTAGTAATTTAAAAAGATAATAAATGCTTGAATGTATATCCAAGTGTGTTTGTGTCCACGATACAAGATGGAAGCTCACCCAAATCTACATAATATACATCACTTGTGTGTGGTGAAGTGATCACTGGAACTTTCCCTGGTTTTTCTGTGCAAAAAAAACACTTTACATCTTCTCACCCAACATATGAAGACATCCATATGAAGGAAAAAAACTGCTCTTTTCTCACCCTTTGGTTTGACTTCAAGAGCCACTGTAAAGGTCATGTTATATATTTGACTATAATACAGGTGAGGTCTGGTACAGGTGTAGACACCGTGATCATTCACCTCCGCCTTCGAGAAGTAGCCGCCTTTTGGCAAAGACTCGCCCTCCTACAAGATGGAAAATGAAGCTCAATTTTAAAAGCATGAAGTGAATGAAAATAAGCCTTAAATGTTGACAAAACACCACATTCCCTCAAAACTATGGTATGCTTTGGGGAAAATTAAATATATAGAGAGATCTGTTAATCAAATGGGTTAAAAAAGGCAGTCAGAAGTCCCCACCCGAGGGATCGCCTGCCCAAATCTCTGGAGCTGAAATATGACATATAAAGATTTGCTGTGTTTACATACCTTGTGCCATATTATGCCTTTGCTGGTAATATCTGTGATGTTTACAGGAGGTACGTTTACTTCGGGACATTTCAATGGGCAGGCCTCTCCTGTGTGACATGTTTGATTGTATTGGGAACTCTTCTCTCTCTGTGCTGTGTAAACTATCAGCCTGAACCACTGCCCGCTGGCGTTCCTGTCATGTCATCAAAGAACAAGTCTGGTTAAAAAAAAGTATTGGTATAATGAAACTCAATATTTGTTTTTCCAGAACACAAGTTACTGATGATAATTCATTGTCAACAGTTTCATATTCTCCACATTCAGGAAACAGAGCTTTGTTGTCCCATCATGATGTATTTGGTCTTAAAACCAAGTCTGTTCTCTGCTCCTCTATCACTGTGTGGTTTGGTTTGGCCACCAAACAGGACAGAAAGAGACTACAACGGATTGTCAGGTCTGCAGAGAGAATCATTGGTTCCAGCCTGCCGTCCATCCTGGACTTGTACACCTCCAGAGTCAGGAAACAGGCAGGAAAGATCACTGCATACCCATCACACTCTGGACACAAGCTGTTCCAACTCCTCCCCTCTGGTAGGCGCTACAGAGCACTCTACGCCAAAACCACCAGACACAGGAACAGCTTCTTTCCACTGGCCGTCATTCTGATGAACAATTAATCACATATTGCATCTTCATTTGCACTATCACCGCCTTCTGCACTAATATCCTGAATCCATTGTCCATTGTCAATTGTTGTTCTTTATGCTCATATATATTCTTCGATATATATTTATATTGTACATAGTACATAAATGTTAAATGTTTATGCTTAGTTTTTCTGTTCTACTTTGTCTTTAATGTCCTTGTTTTTTCATTTCTCTTGTTTATTGTATAGATTTTATGTGTGTATGTACGATAAGAGCAATGTGTAACCAGAGTCAAATTCCATGTATGCGCACACATACATGGCCAATAAAGCTGATTGTGATTCTGAAAATGCAGACTTCAAAGGAGGCATCCCCTGACATGGGATCAGGCTATTGTCTGACATTACCTACTAGCTTGCTGTGTATAAAGCCATTCAGTACTGTAATCTCACATATCATTGCAACTCGACTGAGAAAAAAACAGCACCTTATGTATTCAGTGTACATCTAAATACATCTCCAAAGCACCAAAGAGTAATTCTACATCTGGTTTTAGGAGCTTGCAAACATGTCAGTCCCAGACGTTCCCATAGAATGAAACTGCATTGTGAATTTGCATCTAAGAAAACGTATAATGTCATAGATTACGTTTGCTTTTGACGTAACGCAAAAGAGTTTCAAATGAGTTGTGTTGTAGGGTGGATGGGTTAAAACAACACAGGGCTATCACCCAGGAGACTGCTGTTTGTCTCCCTCCCGTGTGAACCAAGTACTTTGGTTGCTTAAACCTCACAAAGTAGTTCTGTAGTGTTTTGTTTAAATTTACAACAATAACCATGTGTGTCAATGTGACTGGACTTTACCCCAGAGAGCATGAGTAATTCCCCTGATGGTTGACAGAAGCACTGAGAATCACGAGGCTCCTCCCATGAACCAGCACCCCCATCTGCCTCTGGTCAGCTGAGGACATGTCGGTCAGGTCCATCTCCTGGGTGGTGTAACTGGTCCAGATCACTTTGGCATCACCATGACTAGAACCTCTGTCATGAGGGCAGTACAGCGCCACCATCTCACCTGCCTTGACATAATATGGTTCTGTGGTTCTCCAGGGACACACGCCTGCAAATGAGTGTCACAATTTTTAGTTCATTTTAAGTCGGTAAAGCTATAATATGAACTGGCTTGAGGCTTTTTAAAATTAAACCAGAACCAAAGGAGAGCTGGTGTCCAGCCCACTGTTTAAGTGAGGATTGCATTTAAAGTGTTTGGTCTATCGCGCTGGTCCTCATGAGCAAAATGGCTTGGACCCTTTTTTTTTTCAACCCATCTTTGAACCAGCACTGAGCAAAACGTGAGCATCAAAGTTTGGTTGTGTGGTCGTACAGAGTTCATTAAATAGTTGTCTGTGTTATTTATTGGTTATATTTTACTACATCTCTCAAAGATTATATTGATTAGTTGAATTACTGTTCTAGTCACATCAAATGAATCTCAATTTGTGAATGGTCCCGTTTAAAGAATAACAGAAAATGTGTCATATATATATATATATGAAGCTTATATGAAACTTTAAAGCGGTCACCCTATCAGAGGGTATCTCTGATCAGGCATGCAGATTTGTTATTTAAAGAAAGCTGACAGTTACATTTGGTGTGACTCGTACTGGATCATTTAAGGAACCGCATGAGCTTGGCGGATGTGTCCGTTATAAAAGCACAGTTGAGGCTCTTCACCACATCCTAATTTCTCGGTAGATTTTGGTCTTGTGACTTCAGTGTGAAGGAAAATGAGTGACGTTTGTGGAAGTCAGCACTGTTCAGTGCAACAAAAGAAACAAAGAGATTTGAGCCAATGTATTTAAACATTTGCACAGCATTTGATATCTATGATGATCACATCTGCATGTCACAGTGTATAGAAACAGTGTTATATTAATTATTAATATAATATAACTAACTACATTATCTTTCAGTGGTTTTGCCCATGCAGTGTCAAGTACATTTATTCAAGAACTTGTATTTCCATTTTCTGCTACTTCATACTTATACTACTTTGGCAAATATTGCACGTTTTACTCCACTACATTTATTTGATAACTTTTCTTACTAGTTATTTTGCATATTCAGGTAAAAAATATAGAATATTACCGCAAAATACCCCTACATTTACCAGCTTTACACATGCATCAATAATAGTAATTCAATTACATAATAAAGGTGGCATCATTCCGAAAGATTCAGTTCTGTCTGTCTGTCTGTCTGTCTATGTAATCTCAAACAACATATCAAGTTGAGTGTCAAAGGGGGAACAGTCAACCTGAGAGCATTTTCTTACCTGTTAAGGATGCAAGGAGTAAGAAGAGAGGGAGCAAGTGTACTTTCACCATCATGATAACATGCAGCGCAGCACAACAAAACACACAAGAGCGTTGTTAGAGCCGTAGTGTGGCCGAGTTGCACACTTCCCACAATCATGTGAAACCACACTATGTGACGATGAAAAGTCAAACGTAAGGAAGAGCGTCACGTTGCTGCCACCGCAGTGTAGGCTCATCAACCGTTGAATTTGTCCTACCAAGACATGGTCTCCACAATCAGTGTTATGGTGATATGTAATGTTGTTGATCATTTCCCTCCATGATAAATGTTGAGAAACGAAACTTGAACTCATACAAACTCCCTGTTGTTGTGGTTTTGTGTCATCCGCACTGACATTTGGAACCAATGCAGACATTCGCTCTGGAAAAAAGGGCAGGGACACCCGCATCGATGCATGCTGTGCGCAGATGTGTCGAGGCAGTTTCAGATATAACTAGAGGAAACAATGTGGCTGACTCATTAACTCCTTGCAATAGGGGGTCAGGGCCGGGGACAGTTCACCCCAAAATCACCTCTTACCAAAGAAACACAGAACTTTTGTCCGGGAGACCGTTATTTGTGTTCCGTTCGAAACTAAAAGTAAGTGTAGCTACACTGGTCCAGCAAAAATGGCGACGCTTCGTACTGATGTCTGTGATGAACTTTATTTGCCGCCTTCTCTCTCTCTCTCTCTCTCTCTCTGCACCTCAGACACCGTGAAAACTACAAACAAAACATAAACATTTTTACATAAATTGCGAGCTCTTCGGGGAGCCTCTCAGGCAAATGTATGTTGCCAAACAGGCTAGCACATATTAGCACAATAATAATGACATAAACTACAAACTACAACCTCAAAAAATGCAACACATGTAAACATAAATGCAGGTCAACAACAATAAACACAAATATATGTACAAATGAACACTTTACCGTGTGCACCTCTTGGACCACGTGCAGAATCAGTTTAACCTGCAGGGTCGTTCACTCCTCTCTGATTTTGTGCCGGCAAACAACCCACAATGCCACGGTCATATGCCCACGCCAACTCTGGGTGTGGCCCGTTACTTTACGGCATTACATTACGAACTACGATACCTTGAGACACTACATAAACTTAATAAATTTCAACTACACATGTCTCTTTGACAGTAAGCATTGACATTTTGTCACCTGAGTTGTAAGTCACTTGGTAATGACATGAGCTGCTACTCATACTGAGCGGTTTTGTTGCCAAAACATCACTTCCTGTGAAGACAGAAGATTATCGATGCGCCGGCCTGACAAGTTGAAAAACTATCCCTAGAGGGCTAACAGTGTATCGATCTCCAATGCCAAGGGGCACTAACCAACCTGCGTTATCTGACGAGTTTGGAGTGAGATTGTAACGCCAAAGAAAATACATATGAAAGACTCAACAGCAATTTCTCTTTCCAGAAATCATGACCTGTTTACTCAAGATATTCCACAGACCTTGTGAGTATTTCATGTAGGAACTATAGTGTCTATCTTTAGGGGGGAATGCTCTCTTTAATTTAATGTGAAAGTTATATGCTTTATTTTCTGCTACCCCCAAGTGGCCAAAATAATCAGTTATTGCAGGTTTAAGGATCATATTTGTTTTTGATACAATTTATGGTCGGCACTTTTCGACAATAGCCATTTAATGTATTAAAGGTATTTGCATTTGTCAAATCTACAGAAAACTCGACTTATAAAGCCATTTCATGTTGTTGGTCATTGTTGCGTTATATATATATACATATACACATATATATATGAAACGATTTGTCATGTGTTGTACATAATACTTTTGTTTATTTCTACCTTTGTTCAGCTCATCGTTTCTACCTGTGTGGCTATTCTATCTTCCTCTAAAGTATTTTTGGAACTGTATGTACATAAACCCAATATTATTCCTGTATCATATATTATCACTTTTTATATTTTATTGTAATTTCTAAATATATGTTCTTGACTTTTGCTGTACTTTGCCTGAATTTTTGTTTCCTCTTAATTTGTATATGTGTGCACCAAATACCAAGGCAAATTTAAAGTGAAACCTACTTTCTCTTTATGGCAAATAATCTTATTGGTATTCTGAAGTATTTAACTGGTGAAACACAGGGGGATGACTTGTATTTATCACAAAGCTAACCGCAATTGTTCAGCTAAAAAAACTTCCACTGGGTGGCAGAAAAACTTCAACCAAGCTGACATAAAATGCCCTCATCATGCAAACAATAGTCCACTTATTCAGCAGACATGGAGAAACATGTTTCTCCAATATTCACCGACCTTTTGGTTTAGTTGTGGTTGAGAACTGTTTAGTGTTTGTGGATTTATCAGAGTGTGTCTGCCTTCAGGGAGTTGATGAGAACATCTGACAGCAAAATGTACACCACACAAGACTAAAAAGCTAAAAAGCTCATCTTTTCACATTACACATATCAATTGCTATATTGTTGATATCGAAAAAACACGTATTAATGCAGGTTTAAAAGTAGTGGTAAAACAAAAACAACATAAAAGTGCATTTTTTTTATATCTTGACGTGTGACCTGTAGTGCCCACACCCGATAGGCCTTTTTCACAGAACACATTTGGACATTTCACAGGAAGAAACAAAAGGTGTTAAAAACTCAAATCAATGATGGCTGACTTGCAATTAACTACTTCGTTTTCAAGGTCCTGGTACTGTGCATGCTGGCTCACTGTCATGACTTCCTGGTTGTTAAGTTACAAAAACACAAACGCCTGGGTTTTTTCCATAATGACAAGTCAAAATATTTGCGGAGAAAAAGGCAGATTCCTTCAATTAGATGTGTTCAACCAATGACCAAGAGATGATCAGGTACGGGCATTGAGACAATAGACTACACTAAAACATGGCATTTTGGGATATAAGGAGGAGTAGGGGAAATAATATAAGGAGGTGAGGAAGGGATGGAGAACATCATGAGTGCAAGTAGTGATAAAAGAAACGTTTAGGATCGATTGTAAATCCAAAGAAAGCTTTAGAATATTAAAAATGTAATGATTAACAATGTTGAATATGAACTCTCTCTTATAAATAGTATGAAAGTTGCCAACCATTTTGCAGTATGACTTGACTTAATGACATATAAACCATGGATATGACTAAATACTGTAACAGTGATCATCCTGGGTAGTTGTCTAAGGTAAAAGCTTTATTTTGGATGCCTGCTGCGGGGCCGGTAGGTGATAGCGTAGCTGCTTCCAAAAGGAGGAAGAATGCGGCATGGAGCTCATGCCCTTCCACGTGACACAGTCTGCGGCCTCGCCAAGAAGCTGCAAGGCCTCTGGTAACGAACCAGATCTCGACGCTTCTGTTGTCTCAGTTTGGATGAAAACCAAGCGAGTCTGCCACTCCACAAGGGCTGCATGGATGGCGCTCAGCAGGCCAGATCCTGGACCAGGATCTGGGGAGGAGGGAACCAAAACCACCGTCCGACTCTGCTCTATGCAGTCCAGCACTGCCTCCGCTGCAGCTGCAACCAACCAGAGTTCAGATTATACATCGCTTCATGAAGATTTGTAGGTAGATTTTCTCTATTTTAAGAGTATGTCTTACGTACGTACCTTTCCCTGGTAAGACGTCACGATCATAAAGACAGAGACTGTACCCAAACCTCTCTTCCAAAACACTCTCCAGACATTTTCTGTCATCTTCATTTAGTCCTGCGTCTGCGTCGCTCTTGTAACACATCAAAAAGGCATCATAGCTCTTTCCATCTAAACAAAGAACAAACAGCTTTGGTAGAGACCACATGGCTGGCTGCTCTTACAAATCAGTGCTGAGAACAATATGCACTTGATACACAAAAGTCTGATAACAAAAACATGAATCCCACCTGAGGTGCTGCGACAGCAACAAAAAGTGCCACGCAGGAAAAGAGCGATGTCCATTTTCAGTTTCACTGAAACAACAACTGTAACAACAATCACCACCATGACGGCCACAATGCCGAGAGCCAGGGAGAGGGAGGAGGGAGAAGCTGTGGGACGTAAGGGACAAATAACCCCTCAAATTACAATTCATTTAAAGCAGCAGACGCCAGATGAAATTTCCATGTAATTTGAACGTGTGGATTAGAGACAGACATCAACTTCGTGGATCCCAGCATCATCAGCTGATCTGGTTTGAGCTTTACGATACACTGCTGGCAACAACCATATACAATAGTAAAAAAAAAGGCTGTCTATACCTTTTTGGGCCAAGGTGATGGTGACGCTTGAGGGTACAGATACAGATTCCAGTCTACAGGTGTAACTTTTTGATAAATCCTCCTCTGACACGTTTTTGAAGACTAGCGATGCCGTCATCTTTATTTCTCCAGCATTATTTTCACTGGAATGCATGAAGGAATGTATCCAGAAGGACTGTTAGCTATGATGTGCGTGTGTGGATACACACAACATTTGCACTTCCAGACTCGGTTGTGTGAAGTGTTTACCGTGTGTAATTGTAGAAAACAGGAAAGCTGTTGTTCATTTTCACCTCAGATTTCCCGTCAAACCAGAACACCTCGTCAAAGTCTGAATACATAACAGCTTCACAATCAATCACCACTGTTGCGCCTAGAAAAAGCAGAGTGTACACAAGTTAATTTTAAAGCTATAAGATAATGTGTATATGTAACTACACAATAACACAGACACTCACCTAAATCTACATTAAGTACATCATTTTTGCGTGGTGAAAGTATCATTGATTGTCCAGATTTTTCTGTGCAGGAAAAAGAGCAAACATTTAACGCACAAATAAAACATATTGAAGTCTATGACAATAAACAGACCCAAAAAGCAAAGTTTTTTCTCACCTTTTGGTTTAATTTTAAGCAGCACTGTAAAGGTCATGTTATATAGTTGTCTAAAATACAGGTAGGATCTGGTACAGGTGTATTCACCGTGGTCATTCACTTCCACACTTGAGAAGTAGCCGTCTTTTGGCAAAGACTCGCCCTCCTACAAGATCGAAAAATACATGTTTTTTTAATCATGAAGTCACTGCAAACCAGCTTTTGCCTCAAAAAAATCAGCTGTGTTTACATACCTTGTGCCATATAATGCCGTTGGTGGTAATATTCGGCGTGTTTACAGCAGGTACGTTTACCTCGGGACAATTCAATGTGCAGGCCTCTTGTGCGTAACACATTTGAGGGTACTGGGTCCTCTTCAAATACTCTCTGGACTGTGTTGTGCATACGATCAGCCTGAACCAGAACTGGCTGCTGGCATTTCTGTCATGTCATCACAGAAAATGTTAATATGAAGATTTCACATTCACAGTTCAAACATTATGCATGAATTGTGGAGACAGCTAAAAAAGATCAGTTTCCAAAAATGCAAATTTTAAATCTTAGCCACTGTGACATTTCTCTATCCAGATAGTTTTAGTGTCATTTAGAGAGAATGATGTCTGCCAGCGCCACATTACAACGGACCTTCTATGGCATTTGGTTTGTGGCTGACAAGGCTTCACGCTGCAAAGAACCAAATTACACCACAACTGTGTGGATGGAGGGATGAAGCTGTGGGTAAGCACGCTGTCCTCTACAAACAAGTCAGGATGGTTTCCCCCTGACTTTACATCTTGTGGGTTTGAGTGAAATGTCTTTGGGTTTGCAAACGTATGGATGGAGTACCATGAAGTTTAGTTCAGACAATCATGTTCACTTAAGGATGACTTGGAATCCATTACTTTTCATCTAGTGCCACCATGAGGTCAACGTTACAATTTGTCCAAATTGGTTTATGACCAAATACTTGCAAAAGTAATGACATTCCCGTCAGCCTCTGCTGTACTTTGTGTTTAGTGACAGTTAGCGAATGTTAGCATTCTATCAAGCTAAACTAAGATGGTGAACACTATTTGCTTAACATCAACATGTTAGTGTTGTTAGTGTTAGCATTGAGCTCAAAGCAGCGTCATCACAGAGCTGCTAGCGTGGCTTTAGGCTCTTGGTCCTGTTTATCTCTTAATGCAGATAGCTCATTATAATGGCAAGCAACTGGTTCAAAGGTTCAGTGCAAGGAAAAAAGCTGTAGCTGGTTAACTACATTTATGTTACTGCAGATGTTAGATAAGACAACAATCGACAAATTATGCTTTCAGAATATGAGCTCTACAATATTTTATAATACAGCAAATATTTAAAACATCTACACTTTGCGTTCATTAGATATAAGAAGATATATAGAAATCACCAGTGTAAAACCTCATTCATTAGGGACTCTAGGAACTGAGAGCCAAGATAATCCCTTAGAGGTAAAATGCATTTGCCTGCCTGAACTATTTATGCAACTTTTATAGTCTTGTTTAACGTCAGTCTTAGGAACTAAACATGGTTTAAACGTACTCCCTTGTAAGAGACGAATGCTGTTTATGAACTTGTTTAGACTTTACCCCAGAGAGCATGAGTAATTCCCCTGATGGTTGACAGAAGCACTGAGAATCACGAGGCTCCTCCCATGAACCAGCACCCCCATCTGCCTCTGCTCAGCTGAGGACATGTCGGTCAGGTCCATCTCCTGGGTGGTGTAACTGGTCCAGATCACTTTGGCATCACCATGACTAGAACCTCTGTCATGAGGGCAGTACAGCGCCACCATCTCACCTGCCTTGACATATGTCTCTGTGGTTCTCCAGGGACACACGCCTGCAAAGTGTCAGAAATGTTAGCTAATATTATTATGTAAAACTATTGTTACTGGGAAGTTGCCAGGCAACCAACAGAAAAAAAACCTACAAAGTCTACAAATTACAGCGCATTATTTTACTTTTTACTGCTGGATGAGAACAGCCTGGTATGTCACCCTTTGTATAACAATACTTTGAGCTTGGGTGACTTGTAGGTCTATCCGGCCACATCCTAATTTGTTGGTGGCTTTAATCGTCTTGTGATTGTCTTCTAAAGGGAATTAAGAAAGCTTTGTATGCCATTTGGCATGTCTCATAACCATGTGGATATTTCACAATGCAGGATTGTTGATTACAGGAGTCTGAATACAGACTATTCAAGACCCTAATCAAAGTACCAGTGCAACAGAGTATTTTTCACCTACAAGTTTGAACGTATAGTATATGTATTAAACTTTGCAACAATGTGTAAGTAGCATTTCACTGTTGGTCGAGTTAGAGTTAGCTTTAGATATTTTTAGATAGTTTAGTCCAGTGGTTCCTAACCTTCAAGTGTCCCGAGAGTCACATGATAAATGTAAGGGGTTGTGAGAGGATTAATGAGGTCTGGAAAATAAAAATAAATGTTCTGCAACATCAATCTATTATTTCCATTTTTGTGATGAATCATTTTAGCTCTCTGGGTCTGGGTAATTTATTAATAATCCAAGATTAGAGAGGTAATGACTCTTTGGTGGAAATTCTAACAACTCATAGATATCTTACAAGGAGCCCAAGGTTGGTAACCACTGGTTTGAGCAATAATTTTAGTTTAATGTCATTAACTTTTTTTTATGTAAAAGTTGTACATCTGTCAAATAAATACAAGCAATTATATAGTGTTTCCCTCTGAAATAGAGCATAGTTTAAGGTAAAGTAGTATACAACTGAAAAACAAACAAATGGTTAGTAAGTTCCCTTAAGTTCAGCACTGGAGTATAGTATAGTTATTTACCACCACAGGCTAATAAATATCAGTGTACTTTGAATGTTGGATATTTCACACCACATCTAAACAGACAAACACATTACTCAACCTCTAGCTACTGATGAAGCCTCATTTTCTTAGACCTACCTGTCAGTGACGTGAGGAGGATCAGAATCATCAGTATTTTCTCCATCATGATAAAAACACCTTACATCAGGGATCCACAATTGTCCTCTCAGAAACGTCTCGGTGTTCTGTGGAATCATTTAGCTTCTCCTTAAAATGAAATGAAAATGAAAGAGGAGCTGGAGCATAAACATGTCATTGAAATTCCTTCTGATATGCCTCTGAGTAATAACATTTTAAATAGCTCATAGCTATTTATAGTAGGCTACATGGGCTGTCTGTAATAAGCACTTACAATATACATGTAGCTATATCTGTGTTGACTTTAGTAACGGACCTAATTTATGTATTTCAATTTCTGAATATGGTAAGTGTGCTGGAGGGGTTAAAGTCTTGTCAGTGTTTGGCGGCTGCTCCACAACTTCCCGTAAACACATTGTTCAAATGATTGCACTCGAAGCCTGAACCCGTTTTTTAGGAGGCTGTCCTTGTATATTTTTGTAATTTTGGGAAGTACTAATAAAATTGATTTGATTGAACTGAGTCCAAGTTCCCCAAAATGCAAAACCCCACCCTTCTATTTGTAATCAATTATTTAATTGAATTAATTATTTGTTCATTCAGTTGACTATTAAACCATATTTTTTGTAAATTGTATTTACCAACATTGAGATCTAAATGCTTTTTCAAAACGATTCTTCAAATCGCATTGATTAGTAAACAATAAGGCTGTCAAAGGTGAAACCTGCATGGATAGCCTATTTTATTATTATTATTATTATTATTATTATTAAGAAATTATATATTGAAATAAACAGGCTAGTTGACTGTGGCCAGTGCACCCTCATGTATATGACTTTTTCCGGCTTTCAAATACGTGTGTCCAACATTATAATGCTGACAACTACAAGATGAAACTTGAACTGCTTTGTTGTCGTTGTGTCTCTCCGCTGCACTGGAAACCCGGACCTGTGCGTGCCGTGCGGGGGCATCGCTCCGGGCAACCGCTGCTCTCGAGTGCTCGTCTTAATCTCTGGCAGTGGCAGCTCATCAGGTAGAAGACGGACCTTATAGAGAGACGTTTCTAAAAACTTCATCCTGTGATGATTTTTCAAATAGTTTAACAGACATGACGGACATTCTGCGGCTGCTGTCAGAAGCGGACGGGCGGACTTTACCGACTCTCTCCCAGCTCTCAGAAAACGGTCAGACAAAAACTTCTTGTTTTTTTTATACCGGAGTGAGCGTGATAAACTGTTTATTCAACTGCTAGTTCGGTGTATACACTGCGAATAAAGTGTGCAGGCGTCTCCATGTCGCCATATAACCAAACTTCATGTTTGTTTGTGTTTTTCAGATATACAATGTATTTGGGCTGACATATCTGCCTACATTGAACGTCAGATGACCTTACAAAAGGTTAGACCTATCCATATATCCATCCATCTATTCATCTATCCATCTATCTATCTGTCCATCCATAATTGATTGATCCAACAGGGGGTCCACCTGACCGGACTGGGGACCTTCACCTTCTCTCAGCAGAAGTTGGACATAGGAAACAATTACACAATCATCCAACGACCCATCTTCCTCTTGGCTGGGAAACTTGTCCAGTCTCTGGGTTTAAAGCAGGTCAGGCCACTGGCTGCAGGTGAGCACCTATTTGATTTGAAGAAATTCCTTCTCAGGATTTATGTCACCACAAACTCATCTGAAAAACAACAAAAAGATGGAGAAATTGAAATCAAATATAGCTTCACAGATCAGGAGAATTTAAGAACCCGGAAACGTTACTTTTCAATCAGCTTCTTGTGAGTGATATATAAGTATTTAAAATAGGTATTGTAATATCATAATATAGGTTTGTGTGTGTGTCCTTCACAGCAACACACCTACCAGTGGTGCAGCTGAACTTTGCAGCTGTGTCACAAGAGACTCCTTTCATTCGAGACGTAGTGGAGGGCTGCGTTAGAGAAACTCTTCTTCTCCTCTTCAGGGCTTTGGCCTCTGAACAAAACATATTCCTCACCTTCCAGGGAATTGGAGTTTTGTCCTTCAAGAACAACAAGGTGGCTCGCCTGCTCATCTACTGTATATTTCTAAGTCTGGGACTATGACCACTGGTTTTCTGCTAAATGTAATCTCGTCTGATGTTATTCAAAGGTGCGGATGAAGTTCAACAGAGGTTTTATTAATGCTATGGATGGAACTGGTCAGCTGCTGTCAGCCTTTAACAAGGTGAGTATAAAGACATACATGTGTGTTTGCATGTTATGGTGCACAATGAATGTGTATGCATTGGGACAGATCATCTGTACTCTTGTCCCTGCAGAGACCTGGGAGCAGTGTCTCTTTGCTGTCTGGTGGCCTGTCCAGGCTTCAGAGGCCACAGACTGCCAACCCCATCACCCTGCCAACTGTCTGCTCTCCTCAGCCAGACAACAAAGCTGGGGACAAAGACGTATGGTGCTTGTCACCAGCTCCAGACCAGAGGAATGCAGGAGGTGAAAGCGCTTTTGGCACAAGGCTGACAATTTGGGGTTTGACAGCGCTCTAATGAATCTAAATTAAACATTGGATCAAATCCAAATCCTTTCAAATCTTGCAGCAAAGGAAAACGATATGTGTTCCTCACTGTTAAGGCTGGAGCTACAGTAGCTGTAGCAGCTGAAACAAACATGATGTGGAAATTATGTAAATTCACATTTATCATATATCCATGTGTTTGGAGGTCATTTTGGGAAATAAGACTTATTGGATTTCTTGCGGAAATGTTGACTCTGTTAAATATGTGGCTACAGAAAACGGCCAATTAGCTTAGCTTAGCTTAGCATAAAGACTGGAAGAAGGGGGGACAGCTGCACAAACATAATAAAATCCACCTACTGCATTCCTAAACTCACAAATTTACACTTTATATCTTGCATATTTAATCTGTACAAAAAAAGGGAGTGCCAAAGTATTTATTTTTTGCAGCAGTGACTTTCTGGAGTCTTGGCTGGTTGTCTGGTTATGACTCGAGGAGGTTTTTGTACATACAGATGAGTTGCTGCTGCTTCCAGTCTTTATGCTGAGTGTCGTTGCACTTGATGAACTGGTTGCACCAGCAGGATGAGCTGGAGCACCGGTTCTCACCTTATCCAAAATTACTCAAGCTGTTACTTTCAATGTGGTGTACGATAGCCAATGTTTATGAATGGACAGCTCTGATAAACAGCTGGATTATACAAGACTCTGAGTTGAAGCTTAATGAGTCTAATGACCCACTTTTAAGCGAGCCAATCTAATGCAAAGGATTTGATTTAAAAATCTCTTATAACTGTCTTCTGTTAAAGTTTCACTGTGGGACTTGGGCAAAATGTAGATATTTACTTAAAAGGAAAGTTTTTATTGTATGCTATTTTCATACTGCATTGCTGGTAAAAGCGAACATATACCAAACAACTAATGTTGATGTTTTAAATAGATAAAGACAGGATGCTAGAGTACATGCTTTGAGTTCCTTATACTATATCTATTCTGAGCAGACTGGCTCATTACAACCACAAGAGACTTGAGACTTCTTGGAAAAAAATGACTGCTGGATATTGAAACCCATCTCTTATCAAAAAAACTAATTATGTAGCAGAGGTTAAGTCTAGAATTAATAACTATAGAGCTGGTGCTGTCATATGAAGTGCAGTTATAGTAACAGTGAACCCACTCAGAGTGTTGTGTGTCTCTGCAGAAGTTCCCCAACAGAGACAATCTAAATCCCATCAGCCACTGCAGCCTGCCAAGATGAAAGCTGTCAGCCTGTCTGAAGAACTGAATCCAAAACCCCCCATGGAGGCCACAGACAAGTACAACACACACAAAGACACAGACAGACAAGCACACACAGTCTATGGAAAGGTTCAGTTTGCAGAGCACAGAGCTCTTGTTTGCAGGTAGATGAGTCAGTGTGAGCTGAGAGCTCTGTGGTGGTCTTATATTGTTACAGCCCGGAGGCAGCTTCCACCTCCATCAATGATGCACAACTACCTGTGGGACAGATTCCTCCTCTGTCATCACCTCACCTTCACTGTCAGAGCACACACACACACACACACACACACACACACACACACACACGCACACACGCACACACGCACTCTCTTCTTAAATTGAGAACGGGACAGACTGTGATCACAAACGATATCCCTGTTATTTTTATCTTGTTGCAAGTCCATGAACACCGTCCGTGCACCTGCAAGTGTCAGCTGAATTTCAGAGTCACTACAGATAACAGGAGGACTTTAGAGCCACTGATTCTGTTATGATATCCTCAGAAACAGCTCGAGCACTCTTCACACCTCAAACACATGTCCATGATGCAACAAGGCCCCATGTGAAACTTCATACAAATACAACAGCTGTTCAATTCAAGCTGTTCAACAATTATTTTGCGATTAAACTATGATGAAGTAATTTTTTCTGCTTTAACTCAAAAGTTATGGTCCTTTTAATAGGTATTAATTTAAACACTGTATAAGTTTATTTATTCGGTTTCAATAGAAATTCTCTCAACAGTACATCTCTTTTTCTGTTTTAGTAACAACCCAGGAAGGATCTGACAAATAATGTGTCGACAGATCTGTCGATTAAATCAACTAATCGATTAGTTGGCAAAATTGTTTTGTTAGTCGACTAAGAAGTTCTTTGGTCGAGGACAGCCCTCAGATTGACATGTTCATGCAGACATTTAAACTCCAAAACAATACTTTGAGAATAATTTAAATTTATTACGCAGGGAATCGTACTGGTCACTTTCCTGTAATAAGATAACACCATACTGCACACACACACACACACCAGGGAGTCGCTCTCTTCGCTGAACAGTATGTTAAAGAATCCGTTTCATCTCCCAGGCCCACCACCTCCGTCACACCACCAGAGTTCCCCCCCAAACTGGAGAAGCCTCGCGTGACCGTTAGCTGCACTGGCCACACTCGTGCTGGACAGGTGTGTACTGTAGGTTTGTACGTGTAGATCCAATCTGGCTTTCATAGAGGTAGATTCACTTTCTTCTTGGCGCGATTGGAAAGTGAGACCAAAATTAGATGTTATTCATAGAGAATTACATTTTATTGATATGATTGTTTGAGTATAATATTGCACTGGTTGAACCTAAGCAATACATTACCTACAAAGTATTTAAATTAGACAGCGTGTATATAACTATGTTTACATTACTGATTATTAACTGTGTATAATTGCTATTACTGTCTTGTCATCGTAGGAACTGTGCTACCTGTGTATGCAGCGGGCCCAAAGAAATGTTCCAGTCTACCTGAGGGAGCAGCAGCAGGCAGAGGAGCGAGCTCAGGAGAAACTCTTACTGCTTAGAGAACAACAGAGAGACAAGCAGTACATGGACGAAGAACAGGTGTGTGTATGCATGTGTGCCCTTAGTGTGTTTAAGTGTTTTTCTGTGATAAGTGTGTGTTCGGACAAAAAAGAAAGCACAAATTTGACTGCGCAAACGTTAGCTGTAGGCTAGCTAGAAACAGACGCATAGACAGTATCTGTTGGAATGTGTTGTCTCCTTGAGTGTTTTTGATCAGCTCAACTCCTGTCCTTTTTTGTAATTTCCCTCCGGTTTTTCTCCTCTTTCCTCTCGACGCTGTTTATGAAGCAGACTAATACAGCTCCGGGATAAGCACTCTAGTTAAGTCAGATTGTATTGAAGTCTATGAGAAAATGACCCTACTTCTCACTTGATTTATTACCTCAGTAAACATTGTAAACATTAGTTTATGGTCTATTTCATACCATCTGCTGCGGGTTATTGAAGGTGATTTGTGAGTGCTCTGGGGATTTTTTTTGTGGTTTCTGAGAAAGAAAGAAATTGGGATCAGAAAACAACCCACTGATTGAAGATGTGGAAAACTGTTGGTTTCACAAGGCCGAGGGCAGAAGTAAACTCATACCATTGTGTCAAAAAAAGAGTAAAACACGCAATAACAACATAAACAATAAAAAACATCTCAACAATTGAGGTGTTAAGGGTGGTTCCAGACTGGTTGTGGGCCAGAGAGCTGAGAAAGCAGCTTCATCCTCTTTACAGCACTGGGGGAGAGGGATATTAAAATTCAAAATGAAACAACTTGATGTGCTTTGCATGATGTTTTTGCCAATATTGTTTCATGGATCAATAAAACTGCCCTCTGAAAAAGTTAGCTTTTTACCCTGGTGAGTATCATGCTCTCAATGTCTTTGCTGTTTCAGTCAACATGATGATACAAGGCTCGTGTTTTCGTGTTTTCGTGTGTTCGTCTGGCAGGAGAAGCTGAATGAGCAACGTAAGCATGCAAAGCAGGTTGCTACATTCAACCTGCAAATGTCGGAGAAGAGAGAGAAGACTTGCTGCCCTCTCTTCCCTGTGAGTAGAACTTGATATTAAAGTTGTAAGATTTCAGTCCTGGTAGGTAACACTCAGCCAGTTGTTTACATTGCAGCCAAACAAACTGTATACGGCGCAAATAGTTTTCCACACAACAGCAGGTCAAAGTAAAAGGGGTGAAAATGTCTTGTTTAGTATTCACATTTTTGGTGAATGATCATGTTCAGAATGTAAATACATTGAAAGGTTATTGCAGAAAGAAATTTGAACATAAATTGTGTCAAAAATAGGGTTTGAGTTTATGAAAATGTTAAGGAGTATTACTTTAATACATGAAATCACACTTAACAGCTCACTGTATCCTTTTAGTGTAACATTGGCTTGTTAAAATGTGTTTAGACTTCATTCGTCTTCCCGGCTCGGCCCTTCACCCCTGCCAGGAGGATCCAGCAACATCGTTACATGAACGAGCTTCAGAGCCAGATAGACACCCGGCGGCAACACGAGGCTCGAGACCAGCAGAACCGTTGGCTCATGGAGCATCTAGACCATGTGCAGCTGGTCCAGGAGTGAGTAACAGCAGCACTGCTCGGGAAGTTCAAATAACCATCTGTTGTGGTAGCAAGTGTGTAACCTGGTGTGTGTGTTCTAGGGTAGCTTTGCAGAAGGCTCAGCAGCTCCAGCAGAAACACGAGAGAACTACACATTACAAGAAGGCTCTGGACATGCAGGCAAGGAAATACTTTGTTTGTAAACCAAGCTTTACACATAATGATCACCAGTGACAATATGGTGAGGAAAAGTGAGTAAAATAGCAGTTATTCAGTTCAGTTATTGTATTGCTTAGAGAATATATAAAAAAAATAGCCTTCAAGTTAACATTAGAAGTAAGTAGTAGACCATAAACCTATGTTTACAATGTTTACTGAGGTAGTAAATCAAGTGAGAAGTAATTTCCTCATAGACTTCCATACGATTCTTTTTGCAACCAGAGCAGTCGTCCCCTGGTGGCCGTTAGAAAGAATGCAGGTTTAAGGTACTTCCTAACTGGCTTCACTTTACAGAACCAGAGGCTGCCGCCTTTATTGCACCTCAAGAAGATGTCAGAGTTACACCATGTCGTTAAACTTTCACTTAAATAAACCAGCCCTGATTCCTACATGCTCTTAACAACAACGTATTATTCAATTACTGGATTTATATAACAAGTGTACCTTACTTGTAAGACTTTTAACAGAGATCATATTTTTCCAACTCACTCACAACAAAATCATTTAAGTTTCTTTGGTAATAAAGAATCGGTACGTCATTTCTTTAAAAGGTGTATATAGTTTTTTATGGCTCCAGAGGGAGCTGTGTCAAGTCTGATAAATTACCTTAAGCGATGTAATTTGAGTCGTCGGAGTCGTTGTTGAAGTGAATTTTTTTTTTATCTGGAGGAGTGGAGTTGCGATGAAAAGATCTTACCAGACTGCTGTAGCCCACTTCTAATCTCTGCTTGAGGCAGCGGGAGGCTGCATTAGCTGTTACTAGCGTAACACACCTGAGTTGCATTGTGGTTAATGTAGGCGGCAGGTTTTGACAAGGAAGAGGAATGCATGGAATAAAAAAAATAATCTCTGGTTCTGCAGCAGTGTTACAGCAGTGCAATGCTAAATCTGGGGAGAGGCTTGCGTCCTAACCAGTTGTTCTTTTTATGGACCGAAATTATGCTTGTGTCCTATGTTTAGCATATGCAGATAGTTGTGTAGGCCTCTATTTCAAAATTAAAGTCACATTTTTTTTTTATTTCAGGGAGAACTTGGTTTACAGAATTTCACAATATTTTCTGGAGTATCAACAAAGGGTGCCAGAAACAATTTTTTGTATTTGACTTAGTTTTGACTTAGTGGGGCAGAAAGTCATAGTCTGCTCAATGGCCACCGTCCAATAAAAATGTGTCTGTTCTGTCCTTTAGGTGGGAGATAAGAAGTGCACAGATCCTCCAGAGTGCCAAGCTGACAACTCCGGGTTCAACCGCTGTGCGACAGCAGCCAACAACGCAGAAGGCCGAGAGAGGGCACAGAAGGTTAACGCTGTTTCCTATCGCTGCCATAAACCTCATTGTTAAATTGATGGCCTCATGAAGATGTCATAAATAATCAATGTCATTGTTGTACAATTAAAAGTTTGTTTCTACTGGCAGCTCTTCCGAGTAAATTTCAGTGCTGCCACTCAGCGGAAGAAAGAAGAACTGCACAATCATCATGAACAGCTGGATAAAGAGAGAGAAGTTCTCAAACACAACAAAATGGAGTGAGTAAAGGAAGGGACGAATGAAAGAAATGGAAAACAATGAGCATGAAGAAACTATTGCAGTTTGTCTATGTTTCCTGTCCAGGTTTATAGTGGACCACATCAATCGCTTTGAGAAGAAGCGGGACATCAGTAAGTCCCTGGAGGACGAGTGGAGTCGCAGTGCAAAGCTCAAACACCAGCGAGAGGAAGAGGAGAGGCGCTTCCTGAGGTCTGTGGATGTGGGATCACCTCTGTCAGCATGCATTTACATCTACTTATATAATCATAAGTAAACAGTTCAACACACTTACTCACCAACCTAAAAGATACATCATGGCTGACATCATTCATGCTTTCTTCTGTCTCCCTGTGGTCAGTTCTGCTGGGGAGCTCCTGGTAGATAAACTGGCACAGTACAGGAGCTGCTGCCAGTGTAAGAGGAGGACCACCAACTGTGGAGAGACCCACATCTGGAAGGACTCTCAATACCTCTCTGGCTCACAATTCATGATCTGATGATCAGTGTAGCCTACAGCAGCTACAACTTGAACATCAATACCTCAGAACCTAAACAAGACCTCAATCCTTGTGCCTCATCATGTGAAAGTCACTAAAGATTTAAATGATACGTTAAGCATGTGAAGCATATACTTTAATCGGCTGTGTTAATGTGAGATTTATTCTCCTTTTGTTGGGCAGAGTTCTTGTTTGCTGTACTTTTATTTTCCCTAGAATATAGTTGTTTTTGTTATTTTGAAATTTCTGAGTTCCCAGCTCCCAGAAATTTCAACTGGACCGCAGCCTGAAGTCAGGCAAACGCGACCTCAAAACCCAAGATGGCCGCTCCGCGTGCGGCATCTACAGAACAAAAGCTGTGGTGAATACCGTTCATGAGCAATTCTGTCTAATTTGTTTCTAAATAGATCAGACGAACACAGTGCTGTCCAACTTCTATCTGCAGACATGTTGCTACGTTGTTTGTATCTGCAAAATACCGGTAATACAATGTAATCAACCGGTATCCCTAACAATGGCTAACATGGCTGGAGCAAAGACCATTAAGTTTTCCGACTTGTTTTACTGGAATGCCACCAACTTCGGTGTGACGTCATTCCAAGCTCAGACTTCTGAGGTAAAAGGAACGCAGCATTATATTCAGTTCAAAGATCTGTTCACTTTGAAGATTTGGTGTAAAGATCTGTACTGAACCTCTAGTTTGTGTTTGCAAAATACAGGTATTAGTGTAGGTATACTGTCCCCGCTATGGCCTAGATACCCAACCAACCCCCCTGAACACCATAGCAACCACCAAGCATCAATTTAGTGACACTCACAGCATCTAGTAGTACCAAACACCTAAGAAATAACCGCAGCATCCTAACAACTACTGAGCAATCAACTAGCAATGCTACGTCTGTTATTTAGCAACACCCAAGCGCACGTCCCTTGAGATAAATTTGTAATTTTGGGTCATAAAAATAAGACTGACTTGACCCGACCCCCATGAACAAAGCTCTACTCGGGTTCTTATTTGGTTAAGTTTATAATTGGAGACAAGTTGGTAGAAGTTAATCACTACCTAGCTACGGTAGTTAGCATGTAGGTAGAAGTCAATGCATTTTAGTACTTTGTAAACAGTACATTCAAGCATTATTTCCCAGTAAACCTTTAGAACTGCCATGGAGAAAAAAAATGACTCACCGAGGTTAAAGTAAAGTAAAACTGAAACGAAACAAAAACAAGCTACACTGAAACTATATTTCCTGGTTGTAAAACTGCTAAAAGTAAAATAAAAATGAACATAATTATATTTCTTAGCTATACAATATCACTACCAAAAAAAGGAGATGAATTTCTGTCAGCTGTCGTGACACTAAAGTAACGCGGTGACAAAACAACTTTTCAATTTGGTCGCCAATTTACTGACACAATAACTAGGTTTTGAGACCTGAAACAAAATGTTGTGGGTACCTTTTGCAGACCTGCAGTAGAGTGATGTCACATGAAACAGTTGTGAGACTTAGAGTTTAGAGAATGTTGACTGTTTCAAAAAGAATGAGCCAAAGGATTGAGGAAAAACTGTTGTTTTTTTTAAGATTCTGATACTTTGAAAATTCATGATTTTCACCAGTGCAGCAGTGGTGAAGGGAGTAAAGAGACTGTCTGTTGGGCGTTACGTACTTTGAGGGGCAGCTGTCCCATGTCTGACCCCGACAAGTGATGGGGGAAGTTGTATATGCTACAGTAGGCATACATACAAAGAAGTACATAACTTACAGAGAGATGAAAAGCAAGAGGGCCCCAACATGGGCCCCAAGTTTGTGAGGACTGCAGGGTTAAAAGGAAGGAAACGCAAAACATTACAAATCATTGTGTGTTTCCTCAGAAGCTTGAAAACAAATTGGAGCAAAGAGAAAGTGAGGAAAACAAAACAAGATGAGGATGAAAGAAGGTATGTGGCTTTGATATGGGAGGATGGGTTCATGCAGTGGGGAGTTTCTATGGATGATGAATGTGTTGCAGGATCATGACAATATTATTCTGGCTGTAGTCCCAGTTCTCTGTGAACCAGATCTCCCTTAATGAGCTCATGGAGGCATTTTGAAGGTCTTCGTATCAAAACAGATGCACAATTAACTGCCCCACACACTCTGGGTGATTAAACTGAGGGACAGATTGTGTGTATGGATAAAAACGTGTGTTAGTGTGTGTTGTGGTGCAGAAAACATACTGTACCTCACAACGCATTCTGTATCTCAGAGAAAGAGATGTGTGATCGAGAACAGGACCCACCCTGAAGCTATTGAACTATTTATTGAACAATAAATTACTGCTGCAGCCTTACTGCAACTCACAGGAGTACTTTGAAAACATTACTTATCCTTGGGGGGTACATATTTGTATAAGCTTGTAAACAATTACCCGATGAGCTATGCATGGGGAAATCCATATAAGCGTCAGACACATGGTCATACAGTAGACCAAATTTAGTGAGTGAGACATCCCTCACCTACGTCTTTTTTCTCCTCTGCCTCAACTGTTTGAATGTGTCTGTGTAGGACCCACCCATCCCCTGCAGAGGATTGTGGTGTGTTCTACAACAGATTTGAAAAACCCTCATGGACTTCCCCTGAAGTGATGTTGCAATACTCTGAAAACTCAATTGGACTTGCAAGAGATCGACCCTTGACGAACTGAGGGAGTGAACTTGTTGGCATGCTGGTGTTCGGGCTTGTCCTCAAGGAGGCCAAATGTGTTTCATTTTTAGGTTCACGATTCCCTATAAATTCACAACCATTAGTTGAAATGTCACAAAAGCTACTCATGCTTTAATCTTATTTTCCAGTGCGGATTATTTGCTCTCTGGTGGTTTCTTGGGTTTGAGTGATGAATTAAATACTGAGGATTTAGGACTTGAAATCAATATCTGGTGCTGGACACACATGTCTGATGGACATGTGTGTCCATCAGACCGGCAATAGAGAGCTGCAGGAATGGCATCTTTTTGTCGAGTTGCTGTGTAGTTAGTTGCACTAACAATAAATCCCAAAATGCTGATCTCCATGGACTCATTGTTGTCTTTGATTAGGCTCACTGGGGTGATGTTGTCTGAGCCGAGCCACTGGAGAGCATTGAGGGGTTCTAATAAGAGGGGTGGAGGACACTGCCTCATGGGGTATCTATGCTCACCCGTGAGAAGCAGACAGCATGAGACCAACGACAACATACTTATACTGTTTGTCACGCACATGATGACTGATGGAATATGGAGGGGGTTATGTGAGGCTGAGCAAATTTGCTCTGCATCAGCACAAAAGTGTCCTCATATATTTGGCTCTAATGTGAATTTATTTCCTCAGGATAAAATCTTTGAAATTAAGGAAACTTGTGAAACATAGTGAACACCCTCTGTTTCCCTCTCTCTTTCCTCCGCCTTTCTCTTTAGTGTGTGCGCTTGTGTGTGTGTGTGTGTGTGTGTGTGTGTTTCCCAGGGCCAGCAGATCCAATGGATATTCATCCTAGTTTTACTGGCAGGCAGAATGCGGTTGGCTTTTTGACAGCTAGTGTCCGAGCTTCATTTCAGATCCACATGTTCCCACCCTGCCCACAATGACCCGAGCACAATCCCCATGAGCCAAACACATCGTGAGAGCAGGCGGGCTGCGTCTTTGAGGGACAACCAGCACATGATCAGCTGTATACTCTAATGGGGAACGACACTGTGTGTATGTCGGCTGTAAGTAAACCTATATGTAATATAAAGGACGAAGAGGGTTCAAATGAAGTAAGCAGGAGAACAAAAAGGTCTTTCTATGTTCATGTAGTTCAGACACTTTTACCCTGAATACTGTGTGATGCTCTGAGTCTAAATGATTACACTTCAACACTGGTCAACATCATGGATCAAATTATTTTACGTAATGTGAAACGTGCTGTCCAAAGTGGCTAACCCATAGATAATTACTCTGCATTTCCCTCAACTCACTGGTTTTAGTTTTACATCCCACAACTTTACTGTTTGGTTCACTCTCATTGCTCTCATAAATCTTGACTCCTTGTTTTGATTAAAAATGCCCTGATGAACCCACTGTACAAAGAAAGTACATACAGGTACATACATTACATTTGACCTTTATTTAACCCACCATAAGCATTAGGTGCAGTAGGCTGTTATTAAGAGCCTGCAGGGAACAACTTGGTGCTTCACTCAAAAACACATGTAGTCAGCAGGAGCTAGGGATCAAACCATCTACTTTGTTGTTAAAGGACGACCCGCTCTTTCCCCTGAGCCACAGCTGCCCACCAAAGCACCAAATGGCAAAGTTAGGAACTAGCTGGTGAACATAGTGGAGGTGCAGTTACTGTATGTCTCCACATGTTGAACGTGGTGATCTTGAGTGCAAAGTTACAGGTTATGTTAAAAAAAAAAGTATTGTTCAGGACAAGCACATCCAGGGTGTTATATTGTCCCATTGTGTGAGAGGGATCGGAGTGTAGGGTAATGTTAGCAGCTGTCTCCTGCCTGCCCCTTACTGGATTTGGGGACGTTTACACTCCAGCAACCACAGCAAACAATACCCAAGATTGCATTACATTAGGCAGATATAGGTTAGTCCTCATCGTGACCGCCTTTTCTCTTAATGTTGAAGGTGAAAACATACTGTTGGAAAATACACGTATGGTGTATAATAAAACAGGGTGGTGTTCGAACAAAATGTATTTTTTAAAAGTTTGTGAGGGATTAGGGCTTTCTCAATGTCAAATAAATTCACAAGGGTTTTCTCGCAGACATTTTGGGCCCATTACGCACACTTTCCGTAAATCCGCATTTCTGCAGACTTTGCCCGAGGGAATTACAGCGATTCATAGAGTTGTGACATTAAACACAGGGTTACCAGGGGAAGCCTATAGAGGCGTTTGAAAAAATAAATGAATAAATATAAAAGGTCAGCAAAGACGACGGCCCGTGGCTGCCTGCCATATTAAATTGAATTCAACTGGTTTCATCAAACATTTCTTTTCATTTTGCTTAATGATGCTGTTTTGACAAAATAAAAATGTAAATTGATTCTTTGACAATTATCATTCGTCTGGTGTCAAGGGGTCACTTGTTGTGTTGTCGCAAAGTGAATGTAAAAACAAGCAAGGCTGTTAGTTCGATACAACTGAACGAGCAGGATTACAGCTCTTTATTGACAACGTTGTCCACTGTTGGGACTTTTTAAAACGGAATGAGCAGCTATGAGTTGAGGTTTGCAATCACTTTTTCTCACTGACAAAAAAATCTAATCAGATATCAGAAAGAATTGATGACAAAAGAGAGATATGTTATTGATTAGAGTGACTTTCAGCACAACTGAGAACCAAAAGCTGTTTCCTGCGATGAAACCAGTGCAGGCGAGAGACCAGAAAAAACCACGCCTGCTCCCTTAAGCCCTTAACAGCTTGTCCAACATTTTAACGCGTGAGTGCACACACACACACACACACACACACAAACACACACACTCTCACATGCATACACAGTCTCACGAAACCAGAGGGCATGCCATGTCACACACTCTGCATGTCAGAATATGTTATTTCCTGACGAAATTATACTTGTACTGTTCTTTAGAAGCCTCCTCCTTTCCTTTTCCTCTTTCCGATCATAAGGTACATCCTAATGGTTCGCACAGAACTCCCCTTCTCCTCTTTTATGCACATTTTGCTTTTTCTCTAAACAGCTATAGGATCAGCCTTCCTCCTTCTCTTCACATTTTTGGTTGAGACTTTGATTAATGTCCTTCTAGATGACTTCCTTTCCTTCACCGCCACTTCTCCACATATTTATCCCATCGTACTTTCATCTATCCATTTGTGTTTGCCCGTCCCACAGTGTTATATCCTGTCCACCGTAACGCAACACACATTTCTTCAGTTATGAGCATGAAGACACAGCTGCTGCAGGGAGGTCACTATGGATGTGCCGAAGCGCTTGCTGTGGTTTTGTGGCACGATGCTGTTAAATTGTACTGTACAATGTCATTAGAAACAGTTGCTTCACAGGACTTAAAACTGCTCAGCCAGTGAGCTGCAATTATAGCTGAGCTTAATGAGATCTATGTAAAGCGGAAGATAAATTAGCTCTAAAGCTTCTCAAACAGAGTCTGCAGCTGCCTTTGTAGCGTGTTGTTTGACATATTTATTTGCTAGAAGGAGCAGGTGGAGTTTGCACTTCAAACTACTCCGAACTAACATTAGTCTTTTTTTTCTGTTGTGTGTCTTTGTAGGTATACGTACATGTGCACATCTATGTGTTGTGTTTGTGTGTTTCTTAGAGTCCAACCCTCTCTCATGCCCGTTTATGGTCAAACTATGCTAGCAGGGTCACTCAGAGCACAGTCAGTAGACACGGGAAGATGGAGAGAGCGTGATTGAGTGATGGAGAGAAAGAAAGGAGGAGAAAGAGCGAAAATACAACCTCTAAACCCATTGGCCTGATTACAGATAAGCCTCTGGGGTCATGGGGTTTTATTTCTTGAGTTCCGGTGAAGCCAGCAGATATCCCGTCCAAGACTTCCCGTATGACGGACCGTATACCTGCATTAACCAAAGCCTGCTCCAACGTGATTGGTCAACACTAACACAAACCAGAACACTTCCCAGACAACAATCTTGTCCCGTTTGCCTACAGATTCTACATGTGAATGCAGAATCTGTTTATAGAGATTAGAGAAGTAGTTGCCCTCTGCCACTTCATTACTTCATTACAGTTCCTCCAAATTTGTCATCTTTCCCCCAAAAATATGAGCTAAAAACACTGTAAAGACACCGTCTTTTTATTTCATACTCATTTGTACTCTGTTTCGTGGTATATGTTCATTTCAGTACTTTATCAGACAAGGGAAATTTGATTTGCAGCAACTCAAAATTTTAGCCTAACTAAATACAGTAATTATTAAGTTACTTTCCACCCCTACTGACCATCAACAGTGAGCTCAAAGCTGCAGAGTTCACACACCCTCAGACTATGAACAACACGCAGGATGTTCCTGGAGGCTAACGGCTAATGTTAGCCACCCAGCTAAAAACAAGCAGCATGAAAACAATTTATAGCCTTTATAGAAAACAGTACAAGGGTGACGATAAAGTTCACAAGCAAAGCCTTGAAAGCTCGTAAACGTGCACACATTCACACACGCACTATGCCAGTCACAGTAACAGTGAATTGCATGCAGGCCAGTCCCGGTGTCATCACTTATTAATCAACTTCAGTTCATTGTCTCCGATCCCTCAGCACTTGTTCTGTTCCTTTATTAACTGAGACAGAGGGTGTCTCCTGATCTCAGGTCCCAGCGAGCTGCAGCCTCAGTTCCAGTCTGACAGCACAAGGCGGAAATATTTTCGTTTTATGCAACAGTTTGGCAGATACCAGGGAGGAACCTCTAGAGACTTCATTATGATCCAGCTGCAAGCAGATCATGGTGGAGATGTTGCAGCAGCATGACGGATTACACTGCTGCTCTGCATGAACCCAAACACCACAATCAATGGCAGTGTGTGTGCGTGCGTGTGTGCATTTGAATAGGATACGGAACAATCTCCATTCCAGCCCGTAAATTGCCTGCTGCTAACAAATGGAGTCTTGATAGATGTGAGCAGCTGGGAATGGAGGGAAACTAAAGAGAGATGGAAATAATGTTGAGAACCTGCCAAAACCAAGATGCAAGGACTCTCATGCGTATACTTGCAAGCACCTAGTCTTGAAGTTGTGAGGACGTTTTGGTCATTCCTCACAGCAGGAAAAGATATTTCTAAAAGTGGTTGATTAAAGCTGCACTAATCCCTATTGCTGTGGTTGGTTTGCGACATTTGTAGTCACACAACCACAGAACCATCACACGACTGCAGTTCCCCTCACCTCTACGGAGCTTTTTAGTGTCTTTCAGCTCATTGTTTTGATTTAACAGGGCACAGCTTTGCCGTTTTAGTGCTTACTGCTACTCAGAGCTGTTTTCAATCAACTTTATGAGGCTATAATAATGTTGAGTTCATAGCTTGTTCTGCTTCCCAGATAGGAGTTATGAAGGTATAGTGTTTACATAATTCAACACGGAACACTTTTAAATACACCATGTCCTCACAACTACAGCAGAGACAGGCTGTGCTGTATGTGTATCTGTGTGTGTTTGTGGACTGCAGCGCAGGTCCAAGATCAGCACGTAACATAACCATTCACTGACCTGAAGTCGAGCCAAACTGGCTGCAGGCCATTTCGAGACGGTGTATAAAAACCGCAATCAGGAAATGTTGGATTACATCTGTATCCCATAAGAGACGAGCTGCATCCATCTTTGTCAAAAACTGTCTAAAAATTCTGTTTTTATTAGCGAATCATCATTTCGCTATTTGGAAAACTCCTCTCATTTCCACTGCAGTTACACTGAGTCAGATAGAAGTGTCAAGAACCAGAAATGAAACAGGAGAAGAAAGGTCAGTTTGAGCAAAATGACTCTCTCAAATTAGTTGACATACTTGAGCAAGTAAAAAATATAACATAGGCTTATATAAAATATAATATTGATATTATTTTATATTTGTTGTATTTTATTCTTTTTTTAAACTTGCAATATTTTATGTCTTATGCGGTCTAAGATTGCATTGCCAACGGCTGCTTCTCTTTAATTGTTGTGCATGTGACAATAAATAGCATTGAACTTAAAATGACCCCACAATCAGGTGTGTTTTTCCTACTTTATGAAAGAAAGAATGGGTTTAAAGAGGCCAAATGACGTACCTTGTTAAGACACACTATGGTGTCTGGAAATATTTTAAGGTATCAAACACAATAGACTGTGGAAACTATACAGAGCCCAGACAGGAAAAAATAAAATAGCCTGGAACAATATTCCCACTGTCATAAAACATGGAAACCCCCTTTGTCAGAATGACGCAGAGGTCTCCCTCCTGCTGGGAACACACCCCTTCCCACACGGAAGCTCTCATTAACCCAAAATGCTCCACACTTCCTGCTCGTCAGTGATTGTGCCCCGGTTAAGGGTTTCTATGGCAACAGTTGTTTCATGGGTGGAAGAGAGGTCAAATGATGGTGACAGCGATGGTGACAGCGAGATGTTTGTCTGATGTACAAACAGTAACGAGCTTTGTGTTTGTTTGCCTGTTACTTCAGGCAGCTTTATGGCTACATACAGTAGAGATGAAATACAGCAGTGATATAAAGAAGCTCAGTACATTTACTCAACTACTGTTCAATTATAAGGTACTTCACTTGAGTATTTGTATTTTCTGCTACTTTATACTCAGAAGCAAATATTGTACATTTTACTTAAAAACTCTTAAAATGGCACTAAAACATATACTGACAGTTTAAAATGCATTTATTTAAGAAACAAATATGTTTCATTGCATCACAGGTAGGACACTGTATTTTAGTGAAAAAACAAACAAACTAATAAGATAATCCTGAATCATGAATAAATAAATAAATAAATAAAAAGCAACATTGTGTAAGTCTGTTCTATATATTTTTGTTTTTAAGTATTTTTCAAAGTCAGGCTCTATCTATCACTTCTCTTCTGATGGCAAGCAAGAGAGCTTCTTCAAGCCACTCGTGTGAGGGTAGCCGAGATTATTCCAATAACGGAAATTCATCATGATCAACTTATTGTGGGTGTTTTTTTTATACCAAAACTCCAATATGATTATATTTTCGCTCCTTTAACACATCTTGCAACATAGCTGTACTACAGAATACATAATAAAGACACAGAAAACTGAGATTATTCCGTCACTTATATATGAGAGTATAACAGGAAACCTGCATCTGATGATGTTTTGGGTTCTCTGTTATAATCATAACATTATCTCATGTAGAGCTGATGTTCCTGGCTTCAGCCTGATGTCTGTCTTAAGTTTGGTCCATCTACCTCCCACAAACTGACATTACAACATTAAGCTAAAGCCAAACATCAGCTGAGTTCATTGTGTTTATTACTCTGGAAACGTCCATCATCATCATGTTGTGATTCATGAGACAAATATCCAAAACCATCCAGGGCCACGTAACTTCTGGAAGCACTTCTGCTTCTTCTCATAGCAGATTCAAAACAAACGCGTCATCAGAATGACTTTATTCTTGGGAGGACTGTTAACAGCAACCTTCTAAAACAAATTCTACTGCAAGCTGCGTACTGGATGCCTGAAATGTGTCGATGGTCTGGTTTATTTCCCCAATAACAATACAAATTCTGGAGAAAAACGCCAAAGAAAAATAATACCCTAAAACCTGGCTCTTTGAATGGCAATGGTCCACCACTTTGGTCCAGACAGAAATATATCTACAACTATTAGACGGATGGGCCTGACATTTGGTTCAGACATTCATGCCACCCTTCACTTTAGTGATTCTTTGACTTTTTGTCCGATACTTTAGTTTATGACCAAAAATCGTAATGATATTCCCACCAGCTTTAACTCTAATTATAAACATGGGCATAATGGAAAGCTAAACCAACAAGTTGAACAAGGCAAACATGACGTGCTAAACATCGGCATGTTGGCATTGTCATGTGCGTGGTGCCATGCTGACGTTAGCATGTAGCTCAAGTAACATGTCGGCCGACGCAGCATCCTGCAGGCAGCAAAAGTTAAAACAAGGTTCAACTTTTTAGATGCTTTTTTTTTTTTGTCTTAGCCCTCTGCATTGGTACCATGGAAGCATACAGATAATTGGGCCCCATGGCATCACGTGACCAACTTGGAAATTGTAATGCCACCGTTTGGTCACTATGTAAAATGTACTTCAAAGGCTGCCGCTCTTCCTGGGGTCTTGATTAGCACCCCTGTTGTGGCACTGGACCGGCCTTTTTCAAATTAATGAAATGGCAGCGTTATTGCTATCAGAGCTCAAGTCGGTCTGAACGTGGCCTCGGTCATGTTTACCACTAGAGTGCTGCCCTTTCCCCGATTTTGTTTTGGGGAAACAAACATAATGCAGTCAAAAATTCAGTGGAGATACACTCCTGTGTCCTATCATGTACCCGGCAAAATGTAGTTCATCTGTAAAATGTAGAATATTAATAATGATTTTTAAAAGCGCACATATAAGAAATAGTGCATAAAAAGAAACAGATTTTCAATGCTGCCTGATCCATTTGAGAAGACGTGACTCAGAAATTCCGACACCCATCATTAGCATCCCCCACACCGAACTCCCCTGCGGTACAGTGGAGATAATTGGTCTGGACCAGAGAACTGAAGATCATTTCATCATCAGAAGGGCTGAAGGGGACAATTTGTGGTCCGCTGGGTGCTTATTATGGTCAGAAGTGATCTTACTGGTATGCTGATAGACTCGTTCAAGCGTGTGTCGTGTGGTCAGACCACCTCTGCCTGGCTGGAAGAGTTTAACATCTGACCTCTGATACCATCAGAAATACAGAGAGGATCAACTGAGAGACAGAAAAAGAAAGAGATCGTGTTCTCTTCCATCTGAAGCATAACAGGAAGCCTGCAGCTGAATAACAATCATTGTGTTGATGGAGTTTTTGAGTTATCTGAGTCACACCGTCCCTGCAGCTCTGGGAGGAACATTAACAATTGTAACATTGTGATCACAGTGTCTCCTGTGCAGCATATGCTCAACTTTCTCATGACACTGAACCACTTGTTGCTCCCTAAAAAGTTTGCATGCTCACAACCTTCAACTGCTGCGGGGCAAGATATCATCTCAAGATGTGCTTTGACTGTGAGAAATGAGTCTCTCAATCACATAACTGGTGCAGATTCAAGGATGAATACCTTTTGCTCTGAGAGTGAGACAATCCCTGGATGACAGCTCTGAATAAATCCTTTGTAAAGACCCGCAGGGTTTAAAGATGGATTGGATTCACATGAATTCCTGATAGCTGGGGTCTCTTTGTGGCTCACTAGCTGTCACTTTCCTCAGTGTGTGGTTGCTCTCTCAGGGATGGGTGGATGCTCACAGTGACTCAACTTGGATCGAGTGAAAACATGGTGCTTGTTTGAGTCACAGTGCCCTTTGGCAGGCTGCACCATTGAATTGTAAAAGAATGATGCTGGTATCCTTTGGAAAGGAATGTGAACAGTATTATAATTCATACGGCATGCTATGGGACGAGATTTACTGTTGTGTTTTGCTGTGAAGCATATTTGGTATGAAGTTTGGTGATGCTGTAACAGTCTAAAAATATATTTCAACATTCGGGGGGAGGGGGGGGCATATTTGCTTTCTTTCCCAGCGTGAGATGAAAAGTTTGAAACTAGTCTGATGTCTGTGGGTGTGATATGTAGAAGTCAGGGCAAGGTTAGCCTAGCTTAGCATAAATACTGGGAGTAAGGGGAAGCAACTAGCCTGGGTCTACAAAGTAAAGAAATACGCCCTGAACTGCATTAGATGTTTTGTGGTGTTTTTGGCCACCGCGGTACAGTATTTCTACCAATGGATAATTGTTATTTGCTTTATGACGTTACATACCAAACATTACTAATTAAATCAAATTATATAAACCTGATCATTTACCTGAGCTGTTCAAATGCTGCAGAGTTGGCTAATCAGAGGGATTTTAGTAACTGAATTTGAAGTTGTCTAAATGTTATGTGTTAATCTGAGGTAGAAACTATATTTTTTTTAATGTAGAAACATTAACCAAAACACCTTGAACATTTTACAGAAGATTCCAGCACCATATTTCAATGTTAGCATGTTAATAAGAGATGTTGATTCTTCACCACAAAAATCTGCTGCCTCTCTGACACATTTTCACCACTGATACTAGTCTACGCCCTCAGACTACAGTATTTCAAAAAATGATGTAGGACAAAGAAAAACAATCAATCTAACAATGTGTAGGATTTGTTGGCATTTAGTGGTGTGGTTGCAGATAGCAACCAAATTAATACCCCTCCACCCACTCCTCCCTCGCCAACACTCCCGTAACTTGAGCTGCCGAGTATAAAACTGTGGTAACGCTGCTCGCCTCGCAACGGAGGTCAGGCGGAGAGTTGGCCGTACCATGATTTTGCAACCTGCGGCTCAGGTCACCACAGTTTCACAAACAGGTCGGAGATCTGCGGTGGCCTTAAGGTTAAAGTAAAAACTCTCTTTCTAGAGTCTTTGTGGTTTGTCCGTTCTGGGATACTGTACAAACATGGCTGACTGAGTAAGGAGGACCCGCTCCTTATGTAGATATGAAGAGCTCATTCTGAGCTAACACTTCTCAGTTTCAGTTGATTATACACGGATGAAAGCATATTTATGATTATTATATTGCATTTCTGCTAATAGATCCCATAAAATGCTTCACACTGGCCCTGAAAGCCAGCTTTTCCAACAGTCACATCATTTCAAATGTATTTACCTAAAATCAGATAAAGTTCCTCAATGGGCTTTAGAGGCACAGATCAGCAATGGTTCACAAGTCACGAGCCAGCCAAAGCTGTCAAAGACACCAAGAAGATATGTCACAAAGAATAAAACTCAGCAATAAAAGGAAAATCACAGGGGAGGCCATTAGAAGACAGCCAGGGGTCATGAAGAAAAGCAATTACAAAAAAATGAACAGTAGAGCGTCTCCTTCTCATCATTCCCTCTGCATCTGTGCAGTCAGATCATGTGTCTATAAGGCATTGCATATTCATGACTAAGCATTCCCATTCCTGAGGATGCCACAGATGTATAATGAAACAGTGTTTTGATTGAATTACCCTTTGATCGGATTACATGCGCCGTCGTTGAGTAATGAGTGAAAAATGACTTCAGAGGAGAGGAGAGTTCAAATAATTATTCAATCAAATTGCATCAAAATGCAAACCACAACTCCTGATGGATGTTATAAATGTGTTGTCATATCTTTCACAAGGATGTGAGTCATTTTCCAAAGAGCCAGAGTATCACATGGCAAGCCAAGGGGTTTACCCATAGTCACGGTGCAAAACTCCTTTCCTGTAGGCGAAAAGCTCAGTCATCAAAACCATTTGTATGTGAGAGAACACTGGGGGAGAAGAACTGCTTGGACTGGGGAAGAAAAGGGTGTAGGGTGTATTGTGTGCGGTGTCACACTATGATGTGTTTAGCTTCCTCAATTTGACTAAAATGTCATACAGTATCATGTATTTGTGACTTGATGTAAACTTAATGTGAACACATAAGAGAATCCTACACTGCCCTCTCTGGTCGACATAAAGCATCACTGAAGTTTGCTCTGTTGCTCCTGTAACCACACCCAAAATTAATGTCGCAGTGTACTGACCACACCCTGGAGTACGCTTCTACATCACTGAAGCAAGGTGAAAAATTTAAACCTCTGGAGGCCAAAAATATGTTCAGTTTTGTTTAAAGTTCGCTCTTTAAAAGGTTATCCAATAGACACAGCAATGCAGCAGCAAAAGGCAGGGAAGAAAGAGAATGTAAGTCAATTCAAACATGAATAATAATGCAGATTCCAAAATATATAAAGAAATCATTTAGTGCAAATATCTAATAAGGAAGGAACTACTTTGTTTGGCCTTTGTTAGGCCTGAAGGATGCTGTGAATATTAAACTATTATCAGGCAGGGCTCTATCAACCTGACCGTCTCAGACACACCGGTTGACACCTGGGTGGACAAGCTAATTTTCACCCTTTTTTCTATGCATTGCTATGCGACATACTTTGAAGTTAATATATAATGAACTAGACGGTGCAGATGTCTGCTAAGTGCGTTTGCACCGACCAATCGACATAGAGTCTATGGGTTTCACCTACTATGTCTCTGGGCAGAGAGTAGTGGCTGGGGTTCCGCGATGCACTCAGCTGTGTTATCACTAGCAGCCCCTAGAGTCAGCAGGTAGTCAATGGCAGAATAAAACAGGCAATATAGGGTACTTTGAGAAAGTGTAAGTCACCGCAAACACAACATTTATTTGAGCATGCAGCCATAACTGGCCACCCAAAATGTTATCCAGTTTGCTGCAGCAGAATACGAGATTAGCTGTGGACAGACACAGAGGTTGCACACTCACTCACAGATGCATGTTGACACGCGAACTATAACGCATGATTGTCCTGGCGGAGATAATAAATTCAACAGAGATTTGTAAAGGACTCTATCCTCTGTTTTCAACAGGGTTTCCCATGTTTAAAAATCCCACATGTACCTGCTAATGTTTCTGGGAAAAGGGTTTTAGTGTACACTGCAAACAGTTAATTTAACAAAATAACTCCCTGAATGCACTAAGTTGAAGTTTTCTTTTAACTGCAGCTGAGCAAGACAGTGTTTACCATCTTTTTATGAGGCATTAAACGTTATGTATCGAATGTGCTGGCGAACAATTGTATTCCCTTCCTTTTGCCTTGAGCTTTAGACTTGGCTTAAGTTACCTCCTAGGATTTCACAGTAATTAACTTCTCAAAAAGACGCCTGTGGTTATCTCATTTTGCCAAACAGCTGTTTCATGGCCTCTAGGGACGAGCGAGAGAAGAGGTCCAGGATGGGAGAGATGATTCGAACAAAAGACAGAGGCACAGAGACGGGAAAACACAAAGAAGGAACAGAGACAGGGAGACGGAGAGAGAGAGCTGGACAGACGGACAGAGGGACATAAAGGGAGAGGATTCAAACATGTGAGGCCGTCCACACTTGCTCGATTGTGTCAGTGGCCAGAAGCGAGAGGAGGAGAGTGGGAAGAATAAAACAATTAACATGAACATTACTCCGGGGAATGTGGGTTTCCTTGACAACAGCAGGCATAGCAAAACAGACAGGCCCTTTCATAACAATTCAAAACAAACAGAAACGTCTCCCTTATTAGCACCCAGGCATTTGTTAAAAGGGGGCATCCCTTCCTGTTATCCCACAGGGGGGAAAAATCATATTTATTTTCCAAATTCTTGTTTTGTATTCATTTAAGCTTCTAGCTTAACGGGACGAGAGGAAGATGAGATGCTGGCAGACCCTCCTGCCCCAGATTGTGCACCAGAGAGAGAGAGAGGTGTGTGTGTGTGTGTGTGTGTGTGTATGTGTTATAATTGTAAATGTGTGTTGTGGGACGGGTGGGGTGCAGTGTTTGATGAGCCAGCAGGTCCACCCAGTGTGCTGGCAAAGATGCTAATGTATAATCAGTTGGACCTTGAAGAGGATTTGAATCATTTTAAAGCAACAGTTCAACATTTTCTTTGCTTTTCTTACTGAGAGTTAGAAGAGAAGATTGCCACCATCTGTACAGAGAATAATAAGCTAAAACCAGCAGTTGGTTAGCCTAGCTTAGCATAAGCAAGGGGGAAACAGCTAGCCTAGCAACCTCACAGTGACGACAAGACTGTCTTGATAATGTGTTAATCGGTGAGCTTTGTACATGCTGCTGGGTGGCTTTTGTTACCTTTAGACAGATCAAAGCTCGCTGTCCCCCCCCCCGTTTAGCCGTTACGCCAAGCTATGCTAAGTGGCTAACGGCTCCAACTACAAATTCACAGTGCAGACATAAGAGGTTTTTTTATCTTCTCATTTAAAATCATATTCTGAACAAATCCCGGCAGGACAGGGAGATGGGTGAAGATTGGCCAACTGTTCAGTCATGCATGAGTCCCCTCTCGCCACCCCCACCCACCCATGTTCTTTCTTTCTCTCTCCCCGTCTTTCTGGTGGCAGTCGAGCCAAATGAAATCATTACATAGCATGATATCTACCAACGGCTTGCACATTTTACGCATGGGTGGGCAAAGTGGCCAAAATTTGGCGTCGGAGCCACACACTGCCCACTGAACTAATTCCAGTCACAATAGCAGCGAGGCCGCCAGTGAATGTAAATGTCAGATTTCAGAGGGAATAATCACAGCCGTATGTTGCGAAATGAGTGAGGTTTTTGTTGTGAAATAAACAGCTTGCTCACAAGTGAACGGCCTTTTGTGATTAATGCCAAGAGTCATGAGGGTGGTCAACCAAGTAAATTAACGGTGTAAAAGTTTGCTTGGGCAGAACATTGATGCATGTGTGCTACATAATTATTTAATGAGTAGTTTGATGGCATTTGTGGATGTGACACTAAGAGAGGGAGGCGGAGGGGGAATCTAGTCGTGTCGATCTAAAGAACAAATGTTGGCCATTGTTTGTGTGAGGAGCTGGTCACAGTACGAGCAACGTCTCAATTTTTCTCTGAAACAAACACACCACAAGTTCCTTTTCCATCATCCTCTCTTCACTCCCACATTTCCTCTCTTCCTCTTTACGACCTCCGTTCTGGACAGACACTCGCCTCCGTCCAGCTGTTTCGGCCTGTCGATAATAAAACATCATTGGCTGTAAACTCTGAGCAGCCCCTCAGAGTTTGTCTTATCCCTATCTTATAAAAACTAAAGTAATACAATTATGAGTACACAATACCTTTTGCATAGCCTTGCATACAGTTATTAAACCATTACATTGGAAAACTCCTAATAAATACGCCTTTATAAAGGGTTTGTTAGATAATGTTTAATGGTATTAGAACAAAGCTAAAAGCAACAACTAATAAATTAATGATTTACTTATTCTGTCTAGATTAGTTTTAAAAGTAACATTTTTTTGGGTTGCCAGGTTGTGAAAAATCCCTGTGTACGGTGTTAATCCTCTACAGACCTTTAATTAATCAGTAGATCCTCTAATGGACCACTTCATTTCTGAAATAAAACTCCCGCTGAGCACCTGAGACAACATCCATTCACTAACAAATTATTTCAATGTATATATATGCTAACTGCAGACTAGATAGTTTAGGACGTATGACGGGTGTTTATTGATGGGTTACAAAAACATTTATAACTACATTACTACCAAGCAGAAAGGATAAACACCAGTTAGGTATTCAACAACCCAAAAGTTATTCTAATGAGTGGCTTATATCCAATATATACAGAATGAATAAATTAGTAATTAATCATTAATAACGCCATTGGGTTTAATTGATAAACCTTTTATAATGGGTGGAAAAGGGTTACCTCATTATTATAGTTGACAATTTGTCAATTTATGAATCTGTTTGATTGACAGATTCAGAAAGTTAATCAACAGTTATTTCAGAAATATAATCTGTATTTATTGTTTTGAGAAATAAATAGCTACTTTTCATAGATTGAATCTATTTGGGCTGTTTTTTTATTGTTCAGACAAATTAAGCTGACTAAATCTGTCGTCTTTTTACGAGAACTTTTTTCCAGCATTATTTTCTAAAATTCTGTTGACGAAACAATTAATTGATTTAGATGCAGCCCTGATCAACTGTTTGACGTATAGCCTATCCAAAGTGCACCGAAATGTGTCTCAAAGTGCAAGACTTTTTCCAACAAGTGCACGACACTCAATACAACACAGACTTGATTTAATCATTAACTCGGTAACCAGCAGCAGTGATGTGATGCGTCACATGACCGTGTCGGATATACTCGCTCTGTATATCCTCGCCGGCAGATGTGACATTGTGAGCGCAGACAGACAGCAGCCCGCCTCCTCCGGCAGCGCACGATGATCCAACTCCTCCGCTGTCGACCCGGCTGCTGCTTTCGGAAAACTCCAGACTGTCACGGATAAAATAAAGTGGTCAGTTCCTGAGAGAAACGCCGAGAAGTCTCTTTTTTTTCCCCCACCAGTTAAACTACCTTCGCGGACTCTGCCTGTTCTGGTCTCTGGTTTCAGTGTTCAACCACCGGCTCACCTGCAGAAGCCATAACGATGCGCTCCCGGGCTGCGCTCCCCCGGTAAGTCATCTCTCTGTCCGCCCGTACCGGAGGGTTTACAGAAACCCGAGGAGTCAGTAGGTAGGATTAACTTGTAAATTAAGAAATAAATGTTGACTGCACTTTTACTATTTTAGCAATACAGTGGTTATTAGACAAATTGTGTCTTGTATCACCCCTAACCTATTTACATAAAGTCTATTTTCACTGCAACAAAATGATATTCAGCCACTCTTTTAGGCTTTAGGCCAATCCCCAGGCCACTTTAGGAATTTTCCATCATAGTCTATATTTGCCCTGTCTGTCATATTTGCAGCATTAAAAACAGTTGCAGCTGCCAAATTCCAGAGCAGATAAAATTTTTTTTTCTGAAATGCTCCTCAACTCCCATGGTTGTAATTATAAATCCATGATGCTGGGTTTAGGAATGACAACATTTTTCATGCAGACAGTAAGAGGGGCCCAGACATCCGGTCACGTTTAACAGCATCACTTGATTTCTATATTTTGAGTCCGTCAGTGAACGGGTCTTTAGTACAGAAGTTCACCTGATCGGTCCTCCTGTCCGTCCACAGGTTCACCTCCCTCCTATTTCTCCTCTTCCTTGCCCCTGTTTTCTCCTCTTCCTCCTCCTCCTCCCGCCCCCAGTGGGTTCTCCAGCGTGTTCCTGTGGTCCTCGCCCAGCAGACGGAGGCTCGTTCGGCCCCTCACTTCCTGTCTCCGGCCCGCTTGGATGTCAGCTCCCCCTGTGACCCAGAATGCCACAAGAGGGCCCCTCGGCCGAGCTACTGGGACCTGCGGCGTCTGCTGGCCTACGAGACACTCCACTCTGATGGTCAACTCACCGAGACCGCCATTGGGATCTATGGCTACGACCCCAGTTCCAACACCAGTCCGGCCTACTCCGCACGGTCGTCTGAGAAGGCCGAGCGGTCACATGTAAGGAGGAAGCGACAGATCTTCGGCCATGATGGGCGCTTCAGCATTGCCGGTCAGAACTTCCTGCTGAAATATCCATTTTCGGTGGCTGTCAAGCTGTCCACTGGGTGTTCCGGTACACTGGTGGGGGACCGTCATGTTCTCACAGCCGCTCATTGTGTTCACGATGGTAAAAACTATGTGAAAGGAGCCCAGAAGCTCCGGGTTGGGTTTCTCAAAACCAAGCAACGGGACACACGGGCTTCTTCCTTTTACGCTCCCTCCAACTTCACCAACCATGTTGAAGGTGGCCCCGCTCCTTACGGCCCGCCAACCAACGACAAGATGAAATTCCAGTGGATCAGAGCCAAGCGCACCCATGTGCCCAAAGGATGGATTAAGGGGAATGCCAATGACATTGGGATGGACTATGACTACGCTTTGCTTGAGCTCAAGAAACCCCACAAACGCCGCCACATGAAGCTAGGAGTCAGCCCCCCGGCTCAGAGGCTGCCCGGTCGACGAGTCCACTTCGCAGGATTTGACAACGACCGTCCCGGCAAGCTGGTGTACCGCTTCTGTCGGGCTGGTGAGGAGACGTCAGACCTGCTGTACCAGCACTGTGACGCTCAGCCCGGTGCCAGCGGGTCAGGAGTCTACGCCAGGATGTGGGACGGCCGGCGCCAGCGCTGGGAGCGGAAGGTGATCGGTGTGTTTTCAGGGCATCAGTGGGTGGAGCGGCAAGGGGCGTCTCAGGAATTTAATGTAGCGGTGAGAATCACGCCTCTCAAATACGCTCAGATCTGCTACTGGATAAAAGGAAACTTTGTGGACTGCCGGGAGGGGTGAGGGGGGGTCTAGCTACGAAACCACAGGCCCACTGCTTCCTCATACTGGAATATTTGTGGCCGCAAGAATCCACACCTTCTACCCCCATAATTTGTAGCACTGACTTAACATCAATGTGAATCGATTCATTTTGTTTGTTGCCGCCGCCCCCCCCCCCCACACACACACACGTAAGTAAAGCAAAGAGACATTTCTAAAACATGAAAAAGTTAATTAAGTTTGTGTTGACTGGGGAAACATTCAGGTCATGTGGTTTTGCAGAACAGAAGCAGGTTCATCCGTTTTTTGGAACATTTATCTGGATAAAGTTATATGGGAGACCCTCAGATCTGGAACACGGACTGAACAACAGGCCTTCAGAAAGAGCAGGACTATGTAAAAACTGTTTCACTATGTATTCTAGCCTTTTTCTTGTGCTTATACTAAAGATTTCACTGTTAAAACTCTTGGGAGTTTTTCTACTGAAAATGATTTTTTTTGTGGATGAATGTACAAGTCAGCTACCAAAGGTGCTAACAAGTTTCATGTGTCTCCTCTCAGCGGACACACTAGTTATCTACAGTGTACTCGGTCAGCTTGGAACGGAATGACGTTAAATGACTTCAGACGTCAAGGCTGCAGGTTACTTGCTTTGTGAGGAACATTGTGTTTAGTGTTGTACTTTAATGCTTAGCTCCATCTGGTGACAAAGATTAAACATTACAGGCCTTCATCAGCCCTTTTTACTCCTCGCAAAACATTTGTGAAAATGCAGAAACTGAAGGAAACTGAAGTGAGAATGTGGCAAATTAAATGAAATATATACTTTGAAATAAGCAACTGTGTCACAGATTTCTTATCCGCCCGCTCAGACAACATATCGCTCACACAACACAATCTCTGTTTAAACGCCATTTGTTTTATTTTGGATGTCAAAAGGCATTTTTATAAATGCTGTGGGTAAACTGAACAGTGTAAAAAGCTGAAATATGAGGACCAACTCCAAAGACTTCTCCAGCACCACTAAACCACCACTCTGAAACTGCATCCTGGGATATGGCACATAGAAAACAAACTCGGCCACCCGATTTGACAACGGACACAGATCGACATCATCGGAATCAGTTCTAATTAACACCTGTACGCTAGAGGAAGATCAAGTAAACCTCAGGGCAATGTGGTCAAGAGGTGAACCTAAAATCTTTTCAAATCTCATTCCTCTTCATCAGCGGTGAACATGTGGGTTTTACCACAACAAAGAAGGCAGACTGAATGCGTCACTTGAGCAAAAACGTAACATTCAAGTAAGAACTTTAAAGCAAACTTAAATATGTCGTCTTTCTGCGTCATTGAGATAAGGGCGAGTTAAAGTTTGACATAAGAGTACAAACACTAACAAAAAAAAAATGAAATTTCTGTGATGGCGCTCAATCGGAGGCTACCAAATTCAAAAACATGACAATTCATGTCAACAGCAACATTCAGTTGAAAGATTTGCTACATTCATGAGGAAAATGACCAGAAACAACACAGAAGCACCAGAGAGCTGATTTAAGGGCAGAGTTTGCAGACAAAGCAGAACGATGGGCACGTTTATGGCATTTATGTGTAATCGAGAGACTCCTCACACTTCTTCAGAAGAGCAGAGCAGCACAGGTGATCCAGATGTGCACACATTGGCTCATCTGAAAAGTGTTTTCCTCCACCTCATCACTCAAAAAAAAAAAGAAGAAAAACCTTGACTGAAGCGGCCAATTCATGACCGCACAGAAAATATCGTTATTTTTTAAGATCGGTGAGAGGAGGCTCATAAAAGGAGGAACCCACTTGAGTAAAAAAGGATTTTAGCCTGGTGTGACTTAACAGAAAGGCAACAACATGCAAGGCAACCCATTTGTAACACCATTCTGGTAACTGACAATACATGAACTGGTAATGAAGAGATGCATACAGTCTTTACCCTGCAGCCTTTGATTCTGCATTCATCACCGATGGAAATGTGACTATTAAACATCCTCTGCTGTTTTTGTTGGTGATGTTTTACATTTTTGGTTGTGCTTTGATGCCAATAGTGTCTCACTCGTTGAGGCCCTGGTGTAAGTTTGTAAAGACTGCTGTTGTAACTGCCCTCCAGATAGCCAGTTACGTGAAACAAGCAGATATGGATAGTAAAAACAAAAGTGAATGAGGAAGAATGCAGACTTCTCTCCAGAGGCAGTACATTAGAGTAGCTTAAGTGTTCTTCCTCCAGACTGATCTCAAGTCAGTTCGTAGGAACATTTTATTCCACTTGGTGGTAAAACTCCACGCTGATGCAAGCAAAAGTTTGACAATTTGAAGGAAAAAGCTATACCACTCTCTTCTCTGCACATTAAATATGAAGCTACTGCAGGCTGCTGGTTAGCTTAGCTTAGCATAAAGACTGGAAATGGGAGGAAACCGTTAGCCTGGCTCAATCTAACAGTTACATACCGCTTTTGTTAGAATAGAATAGAATAGCTTTTGTAATTAGAATAGAGACTGAAGTGTGAAAACGACAATTTACTGTATTGAGGAGGGGGTTTATAAGCCAGAGCCAAGAAACAGTCTGGCACTTAACCAACAAACGTTTTCACACTTCAATCTCTATTCTAATTAAACAAACTCAATCTCTACCATTTGACAGAGCAAAGACAGCGGTTTCCTCGTTTTTAATCTTTGTGCCGACATTAAGCCGACCCTCGCCTGCTGCGGCCTCGTATTTGATGCACAGACTCTGAGACAAAAGAAGCAAATTTCTCAAAATGTTGAACTTTTGCTTTAAAATCACCAGTGAAAACGTGCTGAAGATGCTGCGAGCAGTGACGGTCAGTTTTTACTGGTTCTAGATCAAAGCTCTAAGAGCCTCGAGGTTGAAGCAGAACAATCGGGATTATTGATCTCAGGCACGACTCCATCCACGGATCGGAGTCGCTCGCCTGGTTGAACCGACTGTCAGAGGCCAAGTCCTCTCTGATTGGCCAACCTGCACTTAAAATATCTTTGGTGAGAGTTACCTCATGGCATTCCCTGACTTCCCTGTCGCCTAGCAACAACATTACACAACATGCTAATGTCGTCAGCGTGGTAATGCCCGGCGTAACTCGAAATAGTATACAAAATAAAAATATTCTTTAAATAGGTATATATATAAACATTGCATTAAAAATAGAACCGTATCAAAAAAACGATTGTGAGTTCACAGTCTGGCCCCGGGGCCTCCAAGCAGGAGCACTAACCCTTCAGCAGACCTCCACCCGTCTCCCCTCCACGTCCAGAGTTCGTAGGTGAGGTCTCGCTGCGAGGAGCCTCTACTGCGACTTGAGCCCCAGGCTGCTGGAGGACAGAGGGTAGGAGTAGGCTTTGCCCAGCACGATGCGGTCTCGGAGCAGTTTAAAAAGGACATAGTAGTTGCAGAAGAGAATAAGGCCCAGAGACAAAGTGTGGTTCCAGCGCTCAGAGCGCAGCAGAGAGTATAACTGGTACAAAACCACACTGGACTCGATCCAGATCAGCAGGTTTAGGATCCGCAACGGCTTGTGGAACAGGAACTGGAAGACCAACAGAGAGGAGGAGAAGAGTAGAAAAGAAATTAAAGAGCATATAGAAGGTCAAAGATTATGATATTTAATATGCAGGGGGTGGACACGATAAAATTAGCTCTTGTGCAATATAATAAAATACAGCCCCTGTAACCAGTCTGTGTGAATCATAGCAAAGGTTTCCAGTCAAAAAGCTTCTACTTGATGCAGACCGTATTGGGTAAAACTCGTGTCCAGCTGGCGATTATCAACTATCTTCATCCTGGTTATTGACCTGCTCTCCTATGTTTGTTGTTCCTCAAAAAACCCCACCTGAACATGAACGATTCGGTTATTTGTGTTCATTTTCACAACTTGTAAAAAAAACCAAATCATCATTTCTTCTTCTTTCTGCAATACGTTGCTCTGATGAATTACTTAAACGTAAAATATGACCAACGTGTCACCTGATGAGCTGAATCGCATCTCATTACGTTATCAAGCTACTAAGTGATCCACGGTTGCCTAAAGCTGGATTTACACTTCATCAGAAATGTGTAGGAGAAAACACAATAAAGCCCAAGCTGACCAACCACATGTGGTATCTCCGTAGCCACTGCTGCCCAACGTGTAGTTGCGTTTTCGAGGAGGTGCACCACGTCAGCAATGGCGGAGCATACACATGTAGCTGCCACAGGTACAGCTTAACACATGTAACATGTGGCTGTGCTAAAAATGAAGATTTCTGCTGATGCCTTTATTTTCGATATTTTTCAGGTCAGGTGGTGCATTTTTCGCTTTCACAGGTTGCCACAGCTGTGCGGTATTGTATATATTGTAACGGTGTCCTTATTATTTTGTCCGCCCTCATCTCGGTGAATAATTCACGGGTTACAGTACATATACTCACATAAAACCTTGCATGGGAAACATCAGAGGGCAGAGCGACGTTATACGCTCCGACTGCCTTATACAGAGACCGACTGTGTCGTACCAACACCCCTTGAGGCCAAATGGTGCTTTCTGACCACCTGCAACACAAATCCACACCACAGCACAAACTGTTAGCGGAGTCATTTTTGAACCCGTGTGTGTGTGGTTGTGTACAAATGTGTGCACAGAGCGCCACTCACACATGCTGAGGTGCGTTGCTGTACGAGCCGTGCTCCAGTTTCTGCCAGCGGCCCAGGTGAGCTGCCGAGCGATGAAGCAGGTCGCAGTAGCTCGGGGGGAGCAGCTGACTCATCAGCATGACAAACGCATTGATCCACACCATGATCAGGTGCTCACATGACCAGCGCATGTCATAGTACTGCGTGCTCTGTTGAAGGAAAGCGACAGCATGGGTAAGCGTACCTTGACATTAACAAGGAAACAGGTGACATGAATGGTAAAGATGTGATAAGGGGGGGTGCGGGCATTGAAAAAAACAGAAGAAATCTGCACTCTAAAGCAATGATGCTCAATAAAATAAACAGATACCAACCTTAACGAAGCAGAGAGGCAGGAAGGCTACGTAGTAGGCGCTGAACAACGAGTTGAACAGCACTTCCTTGATTCGCCGGTTGAAGTCGCTCTTCAGCTCCTCCACCTCTGCTCGAATCAACTCCGGTGTGTGCGAGTGTGTGTGCGGTGGGCAGGTGTGCGTAGGCATGTGCGGCGGGCTGGAAAACTGCTCTCTGAGGTTCTCTCGCAACAGGAAGAGGAAGTCACGTGGTCGAAAGAACGGGCTGTCTGTTAGGTCGGTCTGCTGGTGGTGGTCGGCGGGGTAATCGCAGTCAGCCGCCGGTGTTTGGCTTTTCCCTCCCTCCTGATGGAAGCAGCATAGCGGGACGTACACACCAAATCTGCCACGGTAGGAGGGCGGCGGGCAAACGAGGACAAAAGGACAGAGCAGCGAGTTTTAGTTTCAAATAAAATGACGGCAGAGCGAGTAGGGGAGACGTATGCTGTGAAAACATCATGCTTATCTAAAATAAGACACATTAAGGGAGGTGTCCACACATAAAAAGGACAAAACAGCAACACGCTCATCATGAACGACCCGATGAATCATCTGTTCCGAAAATCACACGTGTGATGGCCGAAAAGGAAAAGTCTCATTAGTTTTACGCGTTTCTTTTTTCATCTTCCAGCACTGCACCACGACAGAAATGTACTGTTTGTGCATAAAAGCGATGGTTTGATACAATTCAGTCCTCGACCGACACAGAATCACAACAGATTAAATCTAATTTAAATAAAGATTTTAGTTTGATGCCACAGTAAAAAGAAAAGCGGAAAAACACACAACTCATCATGTTTTGCTGACTCCATTTCTGGAGTGGAGTTAATATGGTTAACAGATGGTTATGACAGCTGGAGTATTGTGGATCATGTGCGTCATGAAAATATTACACAGGGTTGGCAAATTCGAATTCAACCAGCCACCACTTATGTGTGTGCAGGTGAGTTAAAGCGTTACTTTGCTTCAAACAAAGTGCTTATCACATCGCCACACACCTTTACAACACTGGAATAAGTGGCTGCATCCCACAATGTCTGTGACTTTCTGTAAAGTGAGCAGAAACTTCTATTTATTTCCCCCCACATTCTTTACACAACTGCTTTCGTTTTTGTGGAATCAACCGAGTGAAACACCACGAATACTTTTGAGGAGAGATAAGAGCGACAGTGTGCACTGTTATCTAGGGCTGGGCGGTATACCGGTTCAACCGGTATAAGAAGCTGTACATGGAGGGGCTTAGGACCCAGGGGAATGTAGGTGAAGGAAACAGGAAGTGACTGAACAAAAGACACGCCACACAAACAGCTGTTCACCGCTGGCTGGCCGGCCAGTTCTTTTTGGCTTTAAATACCGTGATATACCGTGAAACCGCCAGAATCTTACAAAATACCGCGATATGCATTTTTGGTCATACCGCCCAGCCCTACTGTTATCCTTCTAGCTGCTCTCTATGATGACGGGCCTTTTGCCCCCGCCTTCAAGTGAGGCCATTCAGAACACGTACAAAAAAAAAAAAAAAAAAAAAAGAGAAAAGGACAGTATAAACACTTCTGCTCTGAGATTTGGTCGGAAGACAACTTGTACAAGCACGTCCTGGCCTTGAGAGGGTGGGGGTCGACGGGGGGGGATTCAAAGACTCACGGGTAACCCAGGAAGAGGAGGTTGAGCACAGAGTGGTTCTTGCAGAGGTTGACCAGCGTCCAGCAGAGCACCCAACCGCACATGGTCAGCAGGCTGAGCCGAGCTGCGATCAGAACCACGTAACGGAGCAGAGATCCGCCGCTGCTCTGAGACACCTGGACGAGAGAGTCAGTCATCAGTGGGGTTTGATTCCCACAGGGGTTATGTGCACTAAAATGTGTTCGCCGATCGTTTGTGTGGGTCTGTGTGTGTTTACCTCTGAAACGATGGTCCAAACGAGCCTCCTGGCCAACATGACTGTGATGAAGATAGCCAGGTGGTAGTCCATTAGATGAAAGTTCTGCTCAAATAGCGGCGAAAGAAGCTATCGTTATTATTCCATGGAGACAGTATTTTCTTTTACATGATGAATTAGACCTGAGCCTGCACAATAAAATCAGTTATGAGCTCTCAATAAACTAATCAGTGTTGGTGTGTGCAGCCAAAAACCTGAGACTTTTACAAAACATATTTCAGTGTCATCTTTGGCATTTTTCTCACACAAAAATAATATATTTATAATAGAGCAAGTTGGTTTTTACTCTTGAAGATACTTGTAGTTCTGAGTAACAAAAGGTCTCAACCACAGCAGAGAATACGTTTCCAATAATAGAAAGTGAAAGAAAAAAAGAAAGCAGCAAGCGTGTGTGTGCGTGTGTGTGTTCTTACAAGCGAGGTAGAGGCAGCGGGGTGGCTGTATGGGTACCACCACACCGTCCTGTAGATGTTCATGTACTGGACAAACAAGGCCACCAGCAAATAAAGGAAGAGCAGGAACTCAAACAGCAGGCTGCTGTCCAACGGCAGCTCGGGGATCCTCGCGTGTCGGACCGGCTCCGGAGTAATGAGGGCCGAGAGAGGAAGCGCAGACAGACCCACCACATTACTGCTCCTGAGAGACGAGACAAGACGAGACACGACACACACACTTTGTGAGCCATCACACCCGCTGTACCTACATACTTCTCAAACCATGATTAAGAAGTACCTATGAGGCTCAGGATGAATCTCTTTTTTTAGGAGTAAATATCAGCCCAAACTAATCAATAACTAAGTAAAAGATCTCCGTTAGGGCATCCTGCCAGTTTTAAGAGGATTAGAGCTGATAATTAGTCATTTTGATAAACAATTCATATTTTAATAGGTCCAGCTTCTCAACTATGAGAGCTTGTTAATTTTGTTGTTTTACGTGATAGAAAATAGATTATCTGTTGTAATCAATGTGAAGATATCACCTCAGGCGTTAGGAACTTTTGATGGACATTTTTCATTGTTCTGACATTTGGTAGACTTGAATCCATCAATCAAGAAAATAAATGTTAGCCGAAGCTCTAAAGAAGATACTGTTGAAGTATGATATATAGATAAAAAAAGATTAGTTTTTCATGAGAGGTGGTTTATCAGAGAAGGTGTTAGAATTAGACCTGAAGCTAGAAATGACCTCGCAACAGGCATGCAGCAAAAGAGTGGCCACTGACGGCTCAAGTCATTTCCACAACTGAACGGGTGCGTTGGATGTTGGCAGTGAGTGTGCCAATCTGAGACTCAAGTTAGCTGCCCGAACTAGCTTGCAGGTTGTGCTTCATTCATTGTTTAGTAATTGCAATGTCAAACAATATGGAAAGGGCCCCGCACAGACCAATGTGACGTCTTCAAATTTCCTGTTTTGAGCATCCAGCGGTCCAAAACATAAAGATATTCAGATTAAAGTCTTCACAGCAGCTAATCTGCACATATAAGAATCTGGAGTCAGATCAAAATGCTTCTTTTTGTTCAACCTTTAAAAAGGCACATGACCGATGGAGGAACAATTTTCCATCTACTTGGACGACAAAGAGCATTGAAGCCTTACAGTAAGAACATTTGAATTCCGTGCAAAGGGCGTCAAACATATTTATAAACAAACAAAGTGAACATTATTTCAACCCAGAGGGATAAAACCTGCATGAGGCTGCGACGACAGTATTTGAGCGGGTTTGTGCGCTCACCTGTTCCTGAGGCCTGTACCATTGCCGAGGTTGCCTCCAACCAGAGTCTGCAGGGACGGCAGAGCAGAGCGACTGAGCTGCTGTCTGCTGGGGCCCCTGCGACCTCCTGGCATGGTCGCCAGTTACCGTTTTTCAGCTGCCGGGAGTCCTCCCCTTCTCCTTAATGTGCCACCATGTACAGCCAGGCCACTGCAGGGGGGAAAAAATACATGTAAAGACGGAAGGAAACCCTGGAGTCACATTAAGTATGATTAGAGTATAACTCTGCCCCAAGGGATTTACTTAGAAAACCGTAAACAGTAATATATAAAGAGTAGTTAAGTTATTCTGGGGAGGGATTATTAGAGCACAGCTCAGATCATCACGCTGGTTCTCTTTCCTTTACTGATATTAGTGTCTCCATCAAGTGTATTTGCCAATCAGCGTTACAGCAAACTGGCTCGTTATCATCAATCTGAGAGGGGAAATAAGCTACGTTTCTAGCGTACCTCGTGACTATTTTTTTCTTCAGGGTGTCATTAAAAACTGATGCGTTTGATTATTCAATACAAGGAGCGTGATTATCTGCAATGGTTCATTTGTGCAAGACTTCCGAATGTTCCTGCTACATACAACAAAGTTAACATACTGGGCTTTAAGTTAGACATCCGACTGACAAACCAAAGCATGCTCTACCAGCACAGAGCCACACAGATCTTTACAACGGGGGAATTAAAGGAGTCTCCTTGAAAGAGCCAACAACTCAACTTCAGCATGAGAACAGGCCACAATAAATACCACAAAGACTTATCGTACAACATACGGACATGACCTTGAAATTGTGTTTGTTAGCACAAGAATGTCAGGAACATTTTTAGCCAACATAATGCCAGAATCAACAGCTGGGTTTTCACCAACATTATAAGAGTTGGGAATTGCACACATTCTTTTAAGAATTAAAAAGGTGTGTTCCTATTTGAAAAGGGTATACTCGCATTATTACCTTATGATGTTATCATTATATCAGTGGCATGAAACAGTCATAAAATGATAATAAATGTATATTTATTGCAATTATTTCTGGGACAATTGACCAGCAGAATTAGCCGTTGCGACAGGCCTACATGGGAATCATACAAACACGTCCATGTTTATTCATTCACAGAGGTTTAAAGATGTCAATATTGAACCATCTGTCGGCGCAGCACTGCTCCGATCAGCCTGTATCGGAAACTGCGTGTCATCATGACATAAACTGTGTCATTGTGATACGTCTCAGCCCTCGCAAACCTGCCAGGGTTTTCCCCAGGAAGCGTTGAGCACAAGCAGTGAGTGAGCCGCTCACATCCTGACACGTCTCCCTTCATGATCCGTTTAGTTAGTAGATGGTGGCCTAAGAACTACCGACACTTATTCAACGCATTTGTTGTGGAGAATATAACTTATTTTAAGATAATGTTTTGCTTTTATTGGATATTTGACAGTTCAGAAAAGACATACAGGAAACGGGGGGGGTCGACGTACATCAAAAGGTCCTCGGCTGGAATCAAACAGGCAACCTTGGTGGTTATGTGGCGGCTCGCGGCGCTTTAACCACCCGGCTAACATGGAGCTCCACCATTTCTGCACGTTAATGTTTTCCTTCTCAGGAGTGGATTCATTTGGGATTTTAGGTTGTCAATACTTTGACATAATAATTAGATATACTTGCTTTTTTTTTTTTTTGGCCATCCGTGACTGTGAACTGAATTTATTTGCATTTGGAATCGGTCAGGCAAAACAAGTTTTTCTTGAAATGTGTGTGTTACGGTGTCAAATGTATGGTCATTTAGAGGGTGTGGTTTGTAGTGCTGTTGAACCGTTTTGCATTTTACCAAGAGACGTTTCACACTTGGGTGGACAAAATATCAGACAAGCCTTTCAATACAATGAAATACAGCTCCATCACAAACTACAGCTTATAGAGTCAAATCTGTTTAAACACAAGTTCTTGAAGGTAGGGTTAACTGTAGGACTGTTTACTGCATTACTTTATGCTGGCTGTACTTAATACAGTGGCAAATGACTGCATGCAAGCTGACTCAGAGTACTTAACTGAGGCTTTCACTTCTTAAAAATGCCACCAGATCAGAGATCCTTATAAAAGTCCTCCTAGAGGCAACACCAACAAATCTACAACTAGCCGGAGTAAGAGACCCGTTCATACAGTCTGCCTGCTGAAGCTCACGTTGGAAGACCATCTCCAAGGACTAATTCAAAAGTGTAAGGCCACATACACACTACTACGTTTCCGTTTTAAAGCACACATCTTTTGCTACCTTTACACCTAGTGTCCACACTACTCCGGTGTTTTAACCCCCCAAAAAACAGAGAGGTTTAGAAACGCTACTGATGCTAGGTTAGTTTGAATACTCTGGGGTTACTTCGTAGTGTGGAAAGGGGAAACGCAGACCGTTGGAAGCGATGACGTAGACACCCGCATTTGCAACTTGATTGGGTCTTAGCCGTCATGACGCTGTTGTGCAGTTAAATTCTGCATTGTATAATTCTACTACTGCCGACATGTGGAGGAAGCAGCTGTTATTGGAGCGATTAGCGAGCAGCGTGTCCAGCGGCGTTATCAGCCCTACGGAGCGGGCGTTTGAAGTGATGGTTTGCGGAAGACGATGGACACAAAACAGGGGACTTTACTTTTCTTGGAATGCTCATTTTGTTCTGCACAACTATTGGGAAGTTCACAACGAAACGGTAAACGAACAAAAGCATAAATGCTCTCCAGTACAACTGGGACTTTAGCCACCAGCAGAGCTACGAGCGAGAGATCAGACAACGAGACAGAGACGTGTGTTGACTAAATTTATTGACCCATAATCTAGTAAACTTGATTTGTAAGTGTTCATTTTAAAGTACATTTAATATATGAGTGAGTAAGTGAGAGAGAGAGACCTGCAGCATTGTAACCAAGTCTGAAAAAATAGCCACAAAATGTGTCTGTTTGAGTCTATAGAGGAAGATTGTAGAGGATGATCTTAAGTATCAAGCACAACCTTATATTATTAAAGGGTACTATAGTACTTATTTTCTGTAACTAAGCAACCAATCTACTTCCTGTTTGAACGGGCACCCTCATGCCCAGTGTACGTGAATAGTCATGTATTCGTTTTCAGGCGAGCTCGTTTGGATGGAAATCATTTCGCTAACGATGCTGAAATATCCGTGTGGACGTAGATCGTTTTTCTTTTGAGATCCCGGTCATAAACAGAACCGTATGAGTGTGAATGGAGCCCAAGTCTGCATGAAATGACTGACAGGAAGAATCCACTCAATAGCCAACATATCCTTGAAGGGATTTGGGCTACATCAGCTGTCACCAGACACTTTACACAGAATATTTCCACTGTGTTCATCGAGACTGTCAGATACTGAAACTGACACCCTGTCAGCCAAAATACTACCCGAGGAAGATACCTGAACCTCTTCTCAGCTCCCAGACTACAAGTACAAATGTTTCAGGGTTTGTATAATTCATAAACGGTGATATTAATAGGCCCTTTTCACAGCCCATATTTAAACTCATAGCAGGAAAAGCACACTTGTACCTAATAACATTAACGATGGCTCGTAGTAATTCACAACCGCCTGAGCCCGACCTGCAAAGGGCCCAGTTTGGTGGTTGTGAGAGTGTGTTTGAAAAGAGAGAAAGAATAGGTGGAATATTGCAAGCAGTGTTTCTGGAAGTCACTAAGAACTTACTTGGAACACTACTTTGTCACTTTCTGACCTGCCCGCCCGAACCAGTGATACGTTTCAGTAAGCTCACCTGACCTGCGCATCACTAATGGCTGCTCTCTATTTCAGGTACACACCAGTGGGCCAGCAGGAACAATACTTTTTGACACACCGAAATAGAATGCAGCCATTAATTAGGTCTTTATTGATTACACCTGGACTTTATCCGGCCAGGACAGTCAAACCAGTTGTCTTAAAGCAAAGACCAATTAGCTCTCACTTTGTGTCCCTCTGCAGGCATCGGCACACTCAGACATGTAAAAAAAAAAACAACAACTAATAGTCTAGATGTGGAAGGTTATGAATAATGTATGTCAATGCTGTGCTGCTTTGTGATTTCCTTTCTTCTCTCAGCACTTTTTCATCAATGAGTTGGTTTAGTCCAAAAGATTTACACAGTTGATTTATGTCAATGGACTATGTAACCCTACAACACAGCTGTTTTGTTATTTTGGTTAATTATATTGGGTTGTTTCAGGGTTAAAAATAAGAAAATGTAAAAAACAAAAAAGATCTAGAACCTCGTTAATGAGAGAAAGTTGGTCTGAACGGACCCCCTTAGTTTAATTATTTCATTTACATTTAATTGGTTCAACTAACCAAAAGTAAGTAATTACATCAAACAACACTTGCCTGACTTTACCACCTCAGAACCGGATAAACTGGATATTTGCTTTAAAAGTCAATTTCCGGCACTAAAAAGATAATAGCTTTGTTATATACCCAATATATATAACCATGTTATATACCCAATATAATTAACCAATACTGCAAAGCCTGAACTCTCCCTCAACAGAAACCATCAAATAAGCGGATGACAGTCTACATTATATACATACATGCTCTAGAAATGCCAGACAGTGCTTAATTCACTGCATAGACTGTATTACTCAAAAGTTTAACTCCACAGCATTTTCCCTGAGGTATCATCAGTGTAACTCTGCAGAGGGAACCTCGTTATATAATTTGGTCGGCTGTCCGAAGCCGACCAAATACTGGGAGGACATTGGATCCTCACGACCTCAAGCTGATTATCCCTGATACAGCACAGGCGCTCAACACATTAATGAAGCCTCATAGACTATTTATTTATTTATGGCCTTATAGCTGCGAAAAAAGTTCTAGTCCAACACTGAAAAACAACAGAAACACCTTCAGTACATCACTGGCTTGATGATCTAATACTCTCCACTTGGAGACAATCAGGTTTGAAAATGCATCAACATACATGACGTGTCCCGGTCCACTTGATAAGCCAGTGATCCTAAGATCAGACATAAACCAGAGCCAGATAACATCCAACCTCCGTGTGTGTCAACATTTCCTTTATGCTCATAAGAAACATGATGGAGAGGATAACATCACGCTCTGTGGCCAGTGTGTGGCTCCAATATTAAAGATGAATCTTCAACAGGAAGCCACCGTCAAAACACGAACACGCGTCGCAAGGGACCAAAATTACAGTTGAGTCAAAAGTGAAAACAGGAACCATGAACTAGAGGAGGGATTGCAGGATGGTGTTTTGTAATTTTGTGGAAGTGCAACACATTTCTAGTTTTCCCCCTAAAACACAAGTCCTTTAAAAGTTGTGGAATGTAACCAAGTACATGTACTGAACTACTGTACTTTAGTAGAAATGTGAGGTACTTGTTCTTTACTTGAGTATTTCCAGTTTCTGCTACTTTACACCTCGACTCCACCTAATCTCAGAGACAAATAATGTACTTCTACTTTTTATGCTGAATTTTATATTTAAAAAAGCCTCTTGGCTCATGACTTTTTAGAGATACGTGGTTATTATAGAAAAAGAGGCATTGCTGTTAGTGTTTATTAAACTACCCATGCTAAACACACATTATTGCAGCAGTATTATTAATCTGTAAGTATGGTTCTGAATGCAGGACTTGTACTGGAGTACTTTCACAGCGTGGTATTAATACTTTTACTAAAATGATCTGAATACTTCTTCCACCACTGTTAAAAAGCGAATAAGAAGCGGGAGAAATGTTTTTAAAAATGAAGCCCTGCTGAGCAGAAAGTCTTGACTTTTCTTTGGGGAACGCTTTATTAGTACGTGTTGGTGTGTTTTTTCAGAGACTTGCTAAGACATGCACCAACGCAAGACACCAGGCAGCAGCGATGTCATTTTGTACACCGCGGAAACTTGTGAACACACTTCAAGAGCGACGTTAAGACATACGTGTACGCTCGCAGCTTAGCTGTTAGCTTGCAAATGTAAAGCTACATAGTTGTTTTTTTTGTCTAATCTCCGTAAAGCCATCGTTACTCACACAACACACGGTGGGGTGAAGTGAACGAGGATGCATCAGTCAGTTGTGTGGCTTCCAGCCTGACGAGTCCAGACAGCACAGAGCATTTTCTCCGCCTTCCAGCTTCAATATACCCGGCTGCACTGGTGAGGTGACGAGCTACGAGAGCACCGGCGATGCTGGACGGTCGCCTTCTCTCCGGGTTAAACACATAAAACACGGCTTTAAAAGTTAGCCGCGGGCTTCAGGAGCAACAGTGTAAATGCGTTGCACGGAGACCGACGTGGCAAACCCGTACCTCCTCTCTCTGCGACGTCATCAGCCCGCGACTTAACTGCACAGTCGCAGTTCGACAAAGCGAGCGGCTGTTCTGGATTCAGTGCAGTGCTTTTATTTTTTTTAATGATTGTGTTATTAATAACTTTCATCAATGCATTTTACTAGCATATTTCTAATTATGCAAATTACCACTATAATTCTTCTTTTCACCAAGGTACAACAGTATTAGAAGCACATAAAACAACACTTAGTTCAGTTGCCAGTTTAGGTACATCTAGTGGTTGAATGTGAGTTAATTTACTCAAGTGTGCAAGGCCTACACGTTTGAGGTACTTGTACTTTACTTGAGTATTTGCATTTTATGCTCCTAACACTTCTTATTTTGGAGGCAAATATTTTACTTCATTAGGGCACATTTTTCAGTTAGCTTTAGTAATTATTTACTTCACAGATGTAAATCATTAATAAAAAATATAAAATAGATGATAAATTATGATATATTCTCATCGGTACAACTACCCAGAAGTAACCTATATAAAGTAATAAATAATCAGGCCCACCTTTGCCAGCTGCAACATCAAAGTAATGTAGGCTACACATCAAAACAAGTATAGTACAATATACAGTACATTATTTTGAGTTTTTTATGCATCACAAGTAGTTTGATCACAAGTAGTTTCTGAAATGGGCATTAGCATAATGAGTACATGTGCTTTTTATGATTTGATGTTCATACTTTTGTACTTGATTTTAAATGCAAGGCTGTTACTTGTAGCATACTATATTTAACACTGCAGTAATGCTAATTAAAAGATGTGAATACTTCTTCCACCACTGACTATTGATGACAAGTGACCATTGTGGCTTTCACTTTTCACTAAAGTATTGCAGTATTTTAGGAGCCTTGGGAAATTGTAGTGTAGTTGACATATGCAGCATCATAATGAGATGTCTTTCTAATATTTAGTTTAAATGGAAATATAAATTGGTGGAACAATTGTAACACCTCTCAGTATTACGCGATGAAATTCAGCAGCACCACATACTGCAGCATGAAGGAAGGATTTCCTACAGGACCAGGTGTAGCATACCTAAAAAACAGTCAACTGAGTGTAAGTCTTTGTACATTTACATGTTTGCATGCTCCAAATTATTTTTTTTGAAGAGGTGAGAATTGAATGACAAAAACTCCTTTTTTTTTTATGCGTATTCAAATCAACTTATATAGCTAAAAAGTCTGTCAGGCTGCATCTGTAGTACTTTTACATAAAGTATTACATAAACTGACCTCAATTAAGATTGATTGTAAGAACTTGACTCTCCATTAAAGTACAAGACACATAATGGATAAATTAGGAGTAGCGCTGTGAATTCATTGTGTCCTATAACATTTTTTGTGTCATATGATTGGTCACATTGTTGTTGAGTCCAAGCTAAAGCACATACTATTCTTCAGCTACTGGAATCATTTTTAAAAGTTGAAGTGGAATATTTATGAAGGACAAAAAAGTGTTATCACATCAATAGACAGTTCTGTTGAATTGAAGGTAAAATGTTTATTTTCAATACCATAAATGAACACAAACTGACTGCACATGGGTAAAATAAAGAACATCAACGGAGGAGTCAACCACTTTAGTGCATGTGGAAGTCATGTTTAGTTTGTGCCAACAACCGTAATCTAAATAGCAAAAAAAAAAAAACATGTTTTTGGGCCTGCAACATTGTGCACATTACTTAATTTGTTGTGTCAACACCATGTAAAATACTTATTTACATGCAGTGTTTACAGTTATTTATAAGCAAGTGTAAATACTATCTTATATACAAAAGGTTTAAAAACCACTCATTATCTGAACACAGGCTAATGGCACACACCTTTTCCTTAAACACATAATACACGCTAGTCACTTCAAGACAAGAGCGATGAAAAAAAAAATATTTACAAAAATCATAAAAAGCTATTCTAGAATTCACAAGAGTCTATTCATATTTATGTGGGTTTAAATAGTTATAATGTAATAATTATAATTTGTTTACTGGCCCTGTGTATTATTGTAATTATTTTTCTTCTGCACTTTAGGTTTAACAACTTTATCAAATATAAAAATTGACTGTGTTCCTGCCAAACAAAGAGCTTTAAGAGGAGAAACATCCATAATAAGAACAAGTTTACAGGTATTTAGTGCCAATCTCGTCTGTAGATTTCTATTACACTGATGAACCAGCAGAGAGGAGGAATATTATCCCAAAAATCTGTTCAGTAGTAAAGACTTTCTTACATCATTACCTTAAAAAAACTAAAACATTAATAGGCTACCAAATAGGTTTCCATATTGGCATTAGCTTTGCAACCTCCCCACTTTGATGAACACATTCAATCTCACATTTAATGAATCCTTCTGCCAGCTTTTCACTTATCAAAACCTGTGATGAAAGAGTGCGTTCATGATTCATTTTGAGTCATGAAAATGTTGGCATTCAAAAGTTTACCAGTAGCCAGACAACAAGGCTCCCAGTTCTAGTGAGGTGTGCGTGTTTAATGAAACAGAGGTCGCAGGGCGTTTCCCAGCTGGAGGGCTCAGATGACGACGCTGGTGCCTCTGCGAGAACTCTTGCCCTGAGAGAGACATACTTTAGATTTACTTCACCCCGCAATCAGCATAACTCAGATTATTTTTTTTATAATGACTGTGCGTTTGATTATGTGCGTGTTTGTCTTGACGTAAGCGCGTTGGTGTGGATGTATGTCAATTAAAGAAATGTGTGTCTTACAGAACGCTGGTTCCTCCGAGCTCCTGGTTTCTGTCCGGGTTCGTACTCTGAGTAGCTGGGAGGTTTGTCAACAAAGCCTCCACCTCCTCTCCTCCCTCCTCCTCCTCTCCTGCTGCTGCCCTCATCATCCGAGCTCCAAGACCCTCCTCTGTTGGGCAGTGAGGCTGGGGGAGAGTAGTTTCCTCTGGACCTGCTGTCGAACAGGTCATCCCTGGAGCGGGAGCGGGGGCGGTCCATGCCTACTCTTGACCCGCTGGGACGTCGCCCGTCCAGTGACTCCTCACTGTAGCTCCTGGGAACGCCTCTAGACCGGGTGGGTGAGGGGTAACGCCTGCCCGCCGACCCTCGCTCGTCACGATGTCCGAAGCCACTGCGGCTGCTCTCGCTGGAGCTCGGGGGCTGAGTCCTGGGTGCAGCGGGTGCGATTCTGCCCGGCGGCTGCTCTCTTATAGGTGGAAGTGTGATGACACGACGCTCTGTGGGGCCATCATCAAGGGCAGATATCATGCTAGGAGGGCCGGGGGGAAATGGGGCGTTGACAGGCATGTGCTGGTTAGGGGGTGGCATGTGCTGCATGTTCTGCATGTTCTGCATGTGTTGCATGTGCTGCATGTTCTGCATGTGCTGCATGTGCTCCATGTGCTGCATGTGCTGCATGTGCTGGGGAGGAGGAGGCTGGGACTGATGAGAAGAAGACACCAGAAGAAGAAAAAGACAAATGAAAACCACCACTCATACATTTAAGGGAAATTCACAGAAACACAAGAATTGTGCCCCAATTCAACACTACAGGCCCAGTTAATACTCTGTCTATTACACTAGAAATGCTGCACTTTACCATTTTGTACCAACAGGAAATGACACAATCAGTGCCCTGACAGATGTCAATCAAAACAACACTTTTGCCAATTTCAGCTTTGCGAAAAAATAAAATAAAAAGAAAGACAAAAAACTATTGTTGTACACAATTTGCTACTGAAATAAAACGTGAATCTTTAGAGGAAAGATAAAAGGCACAATTTCACACAGGAAATGGCATTCGTATAATAATTGTGGCTGCTGTTTAGACCGACACTTATTAACTAAATTGATCATGAGACAAATCCAGTGGCTTACCGCCTCGGCTAATCCATTTCCTCGGGGAAACAATACATTTTTAGAGGTATTTTTTGAATACCTAATAATAACAACAACAACAACAACAACAACAATAATTCTGATTGAGCATAAATTGACCCCAATCCGACCATGACTTCCATCAGCCACCACATTTCTGGATCATCTTCTTACTTTGCAATGGTTTTTAACTTTTATCACATAAAATACCGAAAAATCACGACCTCAGAACTTGTTTTTTTCTTCTTCTTTTTTTTTTGCAAAAACAAAAGCTTTGACAAGAACTTGTTTGGTAGTTTGTGTGAAAAACAATCATTCGATTCTCTTCAATAACTCAGAATGTACATTCTGTATTATGTAGTGCATTATCAGCTGCCAAAACGACACAAAAATTCTAAGTAAAGTAACAAGGAATTTCAGCAACTGTTTACAAACTGTAGTAACAGTTGTGCAATATGACAAAATAATCTGCTGCTCTACTGTTAACATAAACAGACGAGAACATGGGCGGTCACATACCTGTAGCAGAGGACTCGCCATGTCCATCCCCTTCACCTGGCTCTCCAGGTAATCGAGCATGTGATTGGAGTTGGCAGGGGTGTGTGCGCCGTGGACACTGGGAGTGGGCATGCTGTAAGCTGAAGACTGAGGAGGGGGGAGGGGCATGGGCTTCATCGAGAAGCTCTTCCCTGAAGCAGATCCTGGAGAGGTAAAAACATTTACAAAATAAAAGGGATTTATTTGGAGACATTTGTGGATGAATACCCGCCTACGGTCTAATGGTATTAAAGCCAAAGTTTGCTTATTAAGTGCTGTGTAACATGATGTGTGTGTGTGTGTGTGTGTGTACCTGAGTAGAGCAGCGGGTTCATCTGGGGGGCGTGGCCCATTTGTCCATATAACGGCTGTCCTCTCATCCAGGGTTGCATGGCCTTCTCAGCGTCCTTCATCATACGATGCTGCATCACCGCTGAAAGACGAGCACAGCACATTCTTTAATATTCAACAATACAGGAAGGTCCTCACTAAGTACAAAGGCTGTTTTTTATGACTTGCATATTTTATGAGCAACAAATGTGGTATAACTAACACCAAAGAGATTTCCGAAGCATACAATAAGGTACCAGCCAACACTGACTACGGTTTACACGAGAACAGTAAGAATACCAACTTGCGGAGATGAGGTTATTAAAAGGGAACCCACCACAATGCTCATTCACTTGCTATTATTTGTCCTAAAGTCAATTAACATTTGCACAAGATTGCAGTCAAGCGCAGAAACGGTTTTGACGATTTAACTTGATGGGATAAGTTCACATTTCTTCAAGTCTGTCTCAAAACAATACTTTGCATGCCCCTTTGCACTGTGCATTGAGTTATAGGTCCCTTCAATCATTTGTCCTGTCCATACTAGCCCTGACATGATTTCAATGGATGTGATGGGGGCTTAATGTACATTGCACACAGACAATGCATATTTTTCAAACTTTGAACCAATATTTTTCAAACACATTTCAGACCTTTTCCTCAAATTTTTAGAATTGTTTTCCAACATTTATCTAATATTTTTTTAGACAGTCCCTTAAATTCATGAAACAAGTTCACACTATCTGTTTTGTAGCTTCCAAGTTTCCTCATCGTTTGTCTTCTGTGTTTTTCTGACAATATAGGTTGTGGATTTAATCAGCAGCCCACTCCCCCATGTTTTGGATGTGGGAGCATCCCTAAGGCACCAACAAGGAGAGTTTTCTAAATGGTGCTGGGCTCTCTACCTTTTTCAGGACAGCAGCATTGCTGTGGGCAGCAGGGACAGCGAACATAGCAGCAGCATTTCTGAGGGCAGCATTGGCAGCAGCAGATACCGAACAGGAGGATCAGCAGGAGGGCTCCGATGACGATGAACAACACTGTTAACCAGTCTGAGAGAGGCGGGGAAGAAAGAGCTCTTGTTAATATGTATTTCCGTCCCTGATTTTGTTATAGCTCCAAATAGCAACCTATAATGCCACAGACATTTAGGTTTAAACAAATCTATAGAAGAAGTTGTGGAAATTCTGTATTTGGGGCTGCAATAAAATCAGTGAGTGAAATTTTTTATTTTTGTTTCTTACGGTAAACGATGAGTTTGACTTCTTTGTCAGAGTCTCCGGACGTGTCTCCAGCAGCATCGACAGAGCAGAAGTACACACCGTTGTCCCACCACATCACCTCAGTGATAACCAGGTCAGCATCTGTGCAAACACAGAGAGATACCTCCATTAATCAATTAATCTGTGGGTTATTTTCTCAATCATTAATGAGCTGTTTGATGTATAAAATGTCTGATATAGTGGAAAATGCCTGTCACTATTTTATCAAATGTGACAGAATTTCTAATTTCTCTGACCAACAGTTCAAAACACTAAAACATATTTACTGAACTAAAATAAAGGACTAAGAAAATCATAAACAATGGAAATGAAGGAGTTTTTTTTTTTACATAAAAATACCTAAATGGATTATCAAAATTGTGACAGATACAGTTTGTCAATCTACTAATTGATTAGTCAACATATCATTTTGGCTGTATTTTGAAGAAGGAACAGCCAAATAAAAAGTGTAGCAAATGATTTTGTCTCAAGACTCGACACAACTGGGTTGAGCCTGACGCCAATAGTGTCTGAATGAACTCACTATTTTGGATGGTGATCCTGCGTTCGCGGTACTCTGCTCCCAGCGTCGGCTCGCTGCTCCCTCTCTTCTGGATCACTGTGCGCAACGTCCGCTGGCGGTCTGGACAGTCATTCGCTGGGTCCTGTCCCAACTGTAGTGCAGACTGGTACGCTGCAAAATCAGAGGCAAAGTTTCCATTAACACATGCTTATACCTGTATGCTTGGTCGATGCATCACTTTGGTCCAGACTGAAATATCTGAATATGAATTACTGGACGGACTGAGTTTAAACAGACATGCATGGTCCCCAGAGAATAAATCCTACTGACTTTGGTGATACCCAGACATTTCGGAATACTTGCAAAAGCAATGAAATTCCTGTCAGCCTCAGCTGTGTACTTTGCGTTTAGTGCAAATAAGTACGACATCGCCATTGAATGATTCAAGGATTTTATTTGTATCTTTAAAAAAAAAAAAAAAGCCTTTTATTAATGTGAACCCATCATTTTATTTCCAACATGCCTTATCTGCTTTTATATTTTATATTAGCCTACTGTTGATTATTTTATTTTGCATTGTATTAATTATCTAATTATATTTCACGGCAGTCCAGAAATGTTTTTGCTCCTGGTTCAACCATATAAAGCACTTTGTCTTGAAAAGTGCCATATTGTTTGTTATTATTATTGTCATATACACAAGTGTGATGTGTGATGAAATGCAGAGTGGCATTCCCATTGATGCTGCACTAAAAATAAGAAATATAGAGTTAAAAAAAATGTACATGTTAAAAAAAAGATCCCAACCAAGATCCTAAATAAAATAAAATGTGTGTGCATATTGTGACTACATATTTGAAGTTATTCATTCTGGCATTGATGGATATTCAGAGTGAAGATGAGATTATTCACATACATTATGCCTCCGTTTCATGTAGGCTACTAGCCTCTCCGAGACGTATGCCGTCTACTGTTACCTGTGGAGTAGTATTCCAGTACGGGGTCCTTGCAGAAGGACTTGAACCTCCAGGTGACCAGAACATCTTGGAGGTTTGCAGAGGTGGAGTAGTCACAACGGAGGGTGACTGCGGCAAACAGGGCTGTGCTGCGCTCCTGCTGAGGAACATTCACCTGAATACACACCGACACTGTTGGCAGGGAAAGCAAACGGGCGGTTAGAGACAGTAGTTTGTGTATTTACAACAAGGAATACAGATATCTCCTGTGCCGAATAAAAGAAACATGTCCAGTTCGAGAGACAGCTTGTGTGTTGACAAAAGTCAAGGAGAAAAAGTGTGGTCAGACTGAAACAATGTGTGTAGGAGTTCATTTTCAAAGTGGCAGAACCAGAAAAACAGGTGACGCAGACAAAAGGCACAGGAAATGGCTTCGAGTGAAACTACCGGCCAAACATTGAGAAGATGGAATGAAACCTGTTGAGTAAATCTGTCTCCAACTATGGACAGGCCACAGTGACTCTCGAATATCATCTTTGAACTCATAGATATCAGTTTAGTTCTCCAAATTAAAATAAACTGCTTATACGAATAATAAAATGAAAAACAAATCTTCAACTCAGAAAAAACAACAATTTTCTATGTTCTACATTTAGACCAACTATCTTTGTGTCACATAAACAAACACTGTCATGTGACCGATACCGCCAGTTTGGTTCGTTTCAGTCAAAATGTTGACAAACGTTCAAGTCATAAACGGGTTTAATCGAAGAGCACGAGGACGAAATGTAAAAGAACGGAAATTACCTTTCAGAAGCGACAGCAGGAAGATCCCGGCAGCTAATCCCCGCATGATGACAAAAACCCCTCCGGCTCTGAGTAAAAAGTGGGAAGCAAAACTATCCGCGAATGATAAAATAAAAACTACTGAAAAGAAAAAGAGCGAAAACAAACAAACAGAGTGTCTGTATTCTAACTAAAAAGCGAAACACTATTTATTGTGTCGTCCTGAACTGTGTGTTTGCGGTTAATACCTGAACCATCTCTGGCCACACCCCGAAACAGGTGAATTCATCCTCTGTGACGCAATCAGGTGCACAAAAAAACCAGGAGTGAGTGTCTGCTGATGCTAATTTTGATTTACACAATACATAAACGTGTTATTCTGATAGGGATACTGTAAATATGTGTCTCGTGCCGACTGTCTTAATGTTAGGTACATTGACATTTCAGTATTCAACTTCATCATAATATTGGGATTTATACTGTAAGGATGTGTGACTGATACTCTTTAAGATTATTTATCTAATGATGGTATCACTGTCCTTGCATACAGAGATATTTACTCAACTAAATACAAGTATTACATATGATAATATTGATTTTATGGCATAGTAAAATACCTTTCTTATTATGTTCCTGTGTTACTATTATTAGACACAACAGACGGTGTAAATGTTCTGCATTCAGTCAACACTCAGGTGTAAAACCACTAGATGGCAGACTAAACTGACTAAATCTGAGAGCTGAATATTCATGTTCGTGTGTTTTCTGTTGAAGCGCAACTCTTGAATCCTCTACAGATTAAACTACAAAACCAGGCTGTTTATTCCCTGGAGGAAAGACGCTTTTAAAACGTGTCCTCCTTCATAAAAGTCTGGGCCCATCTGCATATGAATGGGACCGTTAGTGCTGAAGTGTTTTCCGAGTACTTCAAATGGTCGAAGATTGTTTTTCCTCAGAGCACACCCACTCTGCACCTGCAGCCCTTCACAGCTTCTTGATTTTCCGAGAAACTCCTGCCAAAGATCCGGTCTGTGTTTCCTACTGGTTCCCCCTCACACCTCCTTCTGCTGCATTGCATCATTGCTATGCATTTCATTTCATAATGTAAAGTTGTAATCACTTAAACTTAAAACTAACACATATATACCAGCATTAAATTAGCTTTGGCACTATGCTAGTTAATTTAAATCCTCATGCACAGCAGCTACTGAACCTGAAGTCACTGTGTTTCCAAATTAAAGTGATCAAAATGACTGAAAAGTTGATTTTAACACACATACCTATATTTGTTGAGTTACAGTCAATAAAACTACATGTTTCTATGTTACTTATACTCAGGTAAATAATCTGAGTACTATTCCCACCACTGTATTCAAGCATATGTAAAGTTGTTTTCTAAACTTAACATAATTTTGTTGTATTTATTAAGAGTCTGACGCTTTAAAACTCAAATAATCTGTTTTATCAGGACTGTGTGTGTTTGGTTTGATCTGATTTGATTGACAGCGGGCAAAAAAAACACCAACTGTCATAAGATTCTGATTTAAATGTTGCTAAAATGTATGCACTTAAGTACCTGGCACATACACAAAGATAAACACAGCTTTTACTCCATGCTGCATGGTGATGTCATATTTCCCGGCTGAGCCCAGGAGGAAGTTGCTCCACAACATTCCTGACATACCCTCGAGCAGTGAGTGGTCACCGTCTGAACCGATCCCTCCCATCACAAACACACAGTGAAGGAGGCTCAGATAAACACACATCCCTCTCACACAGAAAGGACAACACACAAAACCAAAACAACGAGTGCTTTTCTGTGAATGTAATCAAATTAATTCCTCAAGCAGTGTTTTAATATCATCTCATCGTCCCTGTAGTGGTTGAAGCGCTCACATCTTTTGCTTGAGTAAGAGAAGCTATTAGTTCTTTCTAAAGTAGAGGAACAGATGTACTATTAGCTTAATACTCAAGTACAACTGTATCAGACTCATACTGAGGTAAAGTGCATGAATAAGTGTACTAACTGTACGATCATATATTCAACCTAATAAGCAGATGAAAACGTCCTAAAAATAAAGAACAATAAGCTGAAATAAAACCTGGTTTTCATTATTTCTGCGATGGAGAGATAAACACTTTTAGTATTTATGTTTGTGTTACGCCAATAAATAAATGTGTTATGGGGGAAAAAAGTGTCGTAACATATTATTTATGTTGATGACAAAACAACTGCGCAAAAGACAGGCAGTCTGTGATTACAACAATGAACAAAGACATGAGTCATACTCAATTACACATTGTCTCCTTTACAGAAAAGTAAAGAGTCATCTCTCTCTCACACTCTCTCTCACACACACACACACACACACACACACACACACACACACACACACAC